TGCTTTATCATTGTGGGTAGACTGTAGCATATTATACCAAGAAATCATTTATTTTCTTAGAGTCAAGTTTGCTGGCAGACCATTGATCAGGTTCGGACATTACAGTACCCAGTTACCACACTGTGGTTTGACAATTCGAATCAGTCCTTGTTATATATGAACTGGCATAATTGTAGTTGCCACCAAACCACAGTTGGCTTTTAACCAGGGACTGACATCGAAAGCACTGAACTAGAAAGGAACACAGGAGCCCAAAGGAATGGGGTGCGGGAGGCATCCAAGCCGTGAAATGCCTCAGATCTTTGGAGGAAGGGTGAGATAAAAGCATTTACCAAAATCTTTCGAACATACTCAAGCTCTATTCATGTTTTGTCCATAGCTAACTGAGGGTTTCTTTAGTTCCTATGTTTCATATTAAGGATTTTATTTAGATACATACTACCCAATTCAAAAGAGTCTTCAAATAGTTTGTGTTGCTAAAAAGTCAAAACAGTAAACAATATAAGGCAGCCAGTGAAAATAGCAAAAAAATGAAACATTTAAAGACCAGGCAGTAAAACTGATGATAAGGTTAGCAAATCCTACAAGAAAAAGAAGGCATCATTCAGCATCCAAATATATGCAGTGAAGGTGCCAGGTGGGTCTTCCTGAGCAAAGTATTCTAGAGCCAGTAGGGAGACCCTACCCTACTCCTTTATGACACCTTTCTGTGGTGCAGCACCCAGAGGAGAGCCTCTGAAGATTGTCTTAACGGTTGGGCAGAAATTCATGGAAGGAGGCACTTCTTCAAGTACTCATCCTAAGCGATTAAAGGCTTTAGAGCATGGCACTAACACTTTGCATTACATCCAGAAACTAACTGGTAACTAGTGTAGCTGAGTAGTATATTCCTATCATTCCAGCTTTTCTTTTCTTCCTGCCCTCCTTTAAATTTTCACTTCACATTTATAAAAATATTACAGAAGTAATATTTGTAATATTGCAAAGTCCAGATATTCAGTGTGTATATATTGCGCTGCAAAAAAAAGGTCATAATGGTAAAGTTCGCATGCTGGGGGTTGTATAGTTGTGTTTATTGAGCACTGTTGTCTGTTCTTAACATGTTGCTCCAGAGATAGCCATGAGTTGCTTGTGTTTTCATGGCTGTATTGTCTCTGTTTATGCACTGAATAAACACACGCCATATTTCCTCAGAGTCACCTTTGGCTGTTATGTTTTTCAGAGCTTTTCAGTTGCTTTGATAACTTTTCCATGAGGGCAATGTTCCATACCCTTTCTGACCAAGTTTCCAGTGTCAAATTGAAAACTGTTTTCCAGTGCTCTTCTAGAACTGGTTTGTGTATGATCATAAAGAGGATTCTTAAACATTTCAACAATAGATCCTTTAAATCATTAACAAACAAGTTTAAAATGCTAATTTGGGACCGCAGGAAACTGTCTGACCTGTGATAAGATACTCCATTCATTGTTATTTCCCAAAAGGATAGGACTTCTTGCAGCTCCACTTCATTTGGAAATAGGACTCCATTTGCTGACATCTCTCCAGAAGAGTGTACTAGTTTGAAGAGTTCTTTGGTGACATTTTATAGGCATATTTATAGACTCAATGAGTTTAGGTCACTGGTCATTGAGTCACACAGCATCCTTTAGATCAGACCTGGGCATTGTATGGCCCGTGGACCACATCTGGCCCAGTGGCTGACCCTGACTGGCCCACATGAGGTCACTGGCAAATTAAAAGTCAATGCAAATATATATCATTGTAATATAGATGCAAGCAATACAACTGCACTGCTTTTATTTTGAAGGATCTGCTAAATTGAATTGAATTTATTGCTTTTCATGTAATGTTAATGTTTTTGTGAATATTCATTAAATAGTGTTGTTCTGTGCTCCACATTTTCATTGTATCATTGTAATGTTTCATTTACTGTTTTTATAGAGATATATATTGAGCAGAGCTGTAAGTGTATTGGTTCGGCGCTTAACAACTGTCAAAGTTTCTCATGTGGCCCCATAGGAAAATTAATTGCCCACCCCTGCTTTAGATGCTTGACAATGGCTTCTTGGAGGACTATGTGGTATTTAAAATTTGCTGTGCTGTGGAATTTAGAGAATTTAATCTCATTTAGTAGCATGACAGAAAACTGTGGAATTGGAAGTAACATGGATCACTTGATCTATAGTTAGTGATCCATGTTACTTCCATTCAAACAAGTCAAAATCAATACCTCCCTGTTTCAGTTGTGTTCCAGTAAGGGGTTTCAAATCTTTATTAATATCTCTCAGCATGTCAAGTTCTTCCTGTTTCCAATATTTAAATCACCTCCCCCTTTAAAAAATAACATCCAGCCTGAAGAAAAGTTCTGGAATACTCAGAAAGTAGCTTGCTACTTTGACATTTTGACTGGTCCATTAAAAAATTGCTTGACTCTGGCTGCTTCATTTCCCCTACTTCCAATGGATCAATATGGCTGCCTACATTTTTGTGTGTGTCTAGATCAGGGGTCCTCAAACTTTTTCAACAGAGGGCCAGTTGAAAGACAGCAGTGACCAGTGCGGGCCGGGGAGGCGGGGTGCCCGGGGGTGCGGGCCGCTGAGGTGGTGTTAGGTGTGCGCGAGGCAGCTTAGGGCAGGCTTGGCAGCGGCTCGCTCACTTGGAGATCTCCCAGTGAGTCCAAAACCATCTGCGAGCGAGCAAGCCACCACCTCCCCACCCCCGTGGCAAGGCGGTGGCGTGTGTGCGTGGGAAGCAGGCGATGGCGGGCCAAAACCTCTGAGGCGGGCAGAATAAATGGGCATGCCAGGTCAGATCTGGCCTGTGGGCCATAGTTTGAGGACCCATGGTCTAGATCCTCAATATTCCCACTTGGGCTACATGTTTCTTTGTGTCTGATTCAGTGGACAGTGTTCACAAAAGCTTATGCTTGTTAGTCTTTAAGGAGACAGAAGACACATCCTCCAGTTAGTATAATTCTAAACCCATTTGCCTGTGAAGCAACTTGCTACTTCACTTAAGAATGTCTAGATTACTGTTCAGATAGGGAAAGAAACCTTAAAGGTGCCATCCCATGTGTGTTTAGGCAGGAACTCCCAGTATGCCCCAGCCAGCCATCAACACACAAACATAAATAGGATTGCATCTTAAATCAGCCTTTCCTCAGCCTTCTAGATGCTTTGGAGCACAGCTTCTAGCATTCTAGACAATAGGCCATGCTACCTGTAGCTGATGGGTCCAAAACAGCTGGAGGGCATTAGGTTGCCTTCGATGAAATCAGTGCAGTGAGATATTGGATGGACCAGGCCTGGACAGCTAGTGTTTCTAAACATCCACACCTGAGGAATAGTTGTGTTGTCCCATTTTTACCAGGATGAGGGTGCTGCATCACTACATTCTAAACCAGTACTATTAAGAAAATATATTTTAAAACTTTCACCAGTTCTGTTTGTTGATATGGGATATGTTGCCATGTGCTTTTGCTGGCTTTAATGGTTTTGTCCCCAGTATTTTCACTCTCACCTATTTCCCCCAGAGCCATAAGTAAAGACTGCATGTCCATCTGAGGGGAATCCTCCTTACTTCAAGGGCCTATCCTCTCTTTAAAATCTTAGATAAATGAATTTTAATTTCCACAGAGAAATGTTCTTAGCTGGGGATTCCACCCCCCCCCCCAAAAAAAAAAAGGTTGGAGAATGTTTTCCTATGCCTTTTTGTTTTGGTGGTTGTCAGGAAGTGTTGGCTTCTAACTTTGTATAATGGAAAGTTTCCAATTAGCCCATATAATGAATACCAAAATCAAGAGGAAATGTGCCTATTTATAAACCTTCCAGGTGTTCATTGAACATAATGAGCAAAATAACATTATTTATTTAGATAAGTACATAAAGAAAAGGTCTTGTACCAACTAAGACATAGGATCTGGATATTTAATTAAATAGGAGATGTGGTTATAAGAACAATGGCTCCAAAGGCAATGCTAATACCATGCTTAAACTTAGACTTTGATTACTGAGTGGTAGCAGCTACTTGGTCTCATCCAGCAACTGTGAACAGATATGGGTATGTGCACCATATGCATATGCACTCTTTCTGTCTCTCCCTCTGTTGAGGAATGAATGAATGAATGAATGAATGAATGAATCAAAAATGGGAGAAATCAGTACTACACAAGACTCTGGAACGTGTTTTTTAAATTACTGAAGTTTGGGTACTTGGTTAATTTTGATTCATGCTAATGTCAGTGGACTTTCAGTAGCTGATTATGGAATCTTAATAAGTTGCATTATCAAATGGTTTTTTACATTTATCAAAAAGAGCTTAATGTTGAGATTCCAGAAGGATGAGAAAGACCTCCAATCAATATGCCTTTTCACAAAATCAGGCTAAAAGGCATTTTGTTTTGTTTTTTGGTCTAGTTCTTGATAAAATACTTTTGCAGGTTTAATGGCTACTTCTACACAGTTTGTCTTGATGTAAATGTTTCTCTTCTGCAGTCCAAGCTGGTATTTCCCCAGAGCTACTGGATTACATCGAGAGCAGTAATAAAACTTGGGACTTGTATGACACTAACAGGAAATAACTGGATTTTCCATCCGGTCCAGCTACAGCACACAACAGTCTCATTATTCATAATGTGGAACACTTCCCATATTTCATATACTTTCAGACTTGATGACCTCCCCATATAACCAAGTTTCAAACCCAGATTCTCTATGAATTTAGTACTGAAGCTACTCATTATTAGCTGGGTTCAATTGGCAATAAAGGGGGAAGAAGGGAAGGATGCTGGGAGAGGCAAGAGAGGGGGAATAGGCACTATCCCATCCATAAAACTTCAGGAGTTTGCTAATCAGACTTTTAGAGATCTAGAGCAAGATTTTGTCAGTTCTACAAGAAAACAAATGAAGCCTGTATTGATTGTATTGATTTAAAGACTGCTTTGCTTTGAGCTGTGCCCTTTATAGACGAGCTAAACACAGGTTCTTTTTCTCTCCTCCAGCCATTTCTTCCTCTTCTAAATATCGAGTGTTCACCAGATGTCCGGACATTTCTGTGCAAAGCATTTGTGCCTGCCTGTGTGGAACCAATGCGTGTGATTCAACCATGCCGAAGTCTTTGTGAAAGAGTGTACTCTGACTGTAAACAACTGATTGACACTTTTGGAATCACATGGCCCAAGGAGCTTGAATGCAACAGGTTCGGTGCTTTCAATTCAGTCTTTTTCATTTCAACTAGATACAACCTGGGTTTGAGATGAGCTCTGAGTTCATAAACAGCCAATCAGCCGGCAGAACTCTTAGTATGACAGAGGCATCTCCCCTCCCCTCCTCCACACAACTGGTCTGTGTGCAAAATAGATGCTCTGAGCTGACACCAACTTATGTGATGCTCTGTTTGAAGCGATATCCCCGTTCCCCTTTTTCTTGTTTGGGTGAACAGTCATGTAAATTGGGCACCTGCCTGACATTGGCATGGGATGCCTTCTTGCCCACTCTTCAACTCATTTTGGCAATGAGAAGGGTGTCCCTCCTCCTTCAGAGGGAGAGAAGCATTGGAATCAAATTCTTCTGATCATGAGTTGAAACAGAAACATAGAAACAGAGCGAGTCAGAAGGGGTCTCCCGGGCCATCTAATCTGACCCCTGGCTCCAGCCAGTTCCTCTCACAACATGTCCACCATGTGCACGTCCAGCCTGTCTTTGAATACCCTCACCGATGGGGCCTCATCAACCTCCCGTGGAAGCCCATTCCATACCCTCGGGGTCCTGTCAGGAAGTGCTTCCTGGCATCCAAATGGAACCTTGGCTCCCTGAGCTTTGCTCCATTGGAGCGCGTCCTGCCTTCCTCTGCAAGGGAGAACATGTCTCTACCCACCTCCATGTGACATCCCGTCACATACCTGTAGGTCGCCAACAGATCCCCTCTGAGTCTCCTCTTCTCCAGGCTGAAGAGACCCAGTTCCCTCAGTCTCGCCTCATACGGCATCCCCTGCAAACTGGCCACCATGAAGAAACATGTTTGACCGTGTAAATCAGCATGGAAGTTTCTTAATCAAATTAAACATTTATTTTTGGGATCAAGGCACCTGGAAAATCCACAGGTTGTTCTAGGGGTTATTTGCATCACAATTGGCTTATGTGTTGTCCAAACTTGCAAGAGCAATTTCACTGTGGTTGTGGGAATCACCTAGTAAGCCACTTAGGAACAGCAGCAAAAACAACTGCTGTTCTTCACATTCTCCCCTATGCCACTGCAGTGAGTGCTCCTCAACCAGTGCCCAAGAGACATATTGCAGGCTTCCTACCCATTTTTAGCTCCAGGAAACTGGACAAATTTGTTAATAATAGGTGTTGTAAAAGTGCCCTCTTATGACTGTCCTGTGTGTAGTCATGCCTGGTCAATTGCCTTGTCTGTTTCAGCCTTTGAAGGGACTGCAGAAATGAAGCAGGTAATAGGCAGAAAAATGAGATGGCATACAGACTAATTTGCACAAATCTGCTGGGAACCAATTGCTAAATTGTCAGTAGAAAAGCAATAGTAAAGGGGGGAAAGCAGCAAAAGAAGACACTCCGAACAATGGAGAGGTATTATCTCCTCCTAGCAATGTAGTTTTTGCACTTCTAAATGTTGACCTAGCACTTCTCAGTGTCTTTTTAACTCTCCCCCATACCTCTCAAAGGGGAGATATGAATTCTCTCTGCTTTTTGCAGCTCCATCTTGAAGCAGATGCAGAAATTTCCTGTGTTTACTTCTTAGCCCTTAAATTGGTACAGATTTAATCTCAAATCATTTCCCATCCATTAATTTGCACAGTTTCTCCATGTCTATACTTAGAACTATCAGGGAACGGCAATAATCTCAGCAGCAAGTGCTTTAAAAAAGGAAACATGAAAAGAGCAGGGCTCTAGTATTTCCCTGTTCTGGGGTACATGGAGACTTCAGAAAACAGTAAGAGTATACTTCCAACACACCAATTAATTAATTATACATATAATTCTGCTATGTTTCTACTTCTATAGTACTATAGTGTCAGGAACTGAACAAATACAACCCCAGCCATGCTTTTTTCATGCTTGAAAAGCCAGTGGGGACTGCAAGTGAAGAAAAGGGGTGATGATCAGAGCAAGGAAGAGACAAGGACACTGGGATACTGGCTGGAGGAATGAGGAAGAAAACTAGCCATAGTAAGCCCAATTGTCTTGTGAGGTGCACTGTAGGTTGTTCAGAGAAAGAGCAACCCAGTATGACTTATTCACAGAGTGGCTTAGTGCAAACCCACCAGTTGAATCAGTGATCTTTTCCCTCTGCCATAATCACAGAGTACATAATTGTATAAGCAAACATTTGGGAAATTGGGAAAGAATTTAGTTTGGGTTATTAGAAGGGTGGAAAAGGTCTCATTTTCTGACTGTAGTTTATGAATCAATTTATTCTGGAAATAAAGAATGTTTATTTCTCATTAGATCTCACTACATTCTTGTTTCAAAGCATTTAATTTATCCAAAAGTCTACCCAAAGAATTTGTTCTTAAGACTGTAGGCTGAACCAGTAATGAAGGCCCTGGATGGAGGATTAATTCTGTGCTTCCTCAATGTTCTTTCCCCCTTTCCTTTCTAGGTTGGAAGATTGTGATGAAGCTGCTTCTGTCACAGCTTCTTTAACCACAAGAGCTCATGACACTCAGAAGACACCAGGATGGCCTAGAAGGAACTATGGATTTTATTGTCCACGCCACCTGCAGACCTCCAGTAGTCAAGGCTACAAGTTTTTGGACATCGATCAGTGTGCACCTCCGTGCCCCAACATGTACTTCAATAACCATGAGCTCGACGTTGCCAAAAGCTTCATTGGGATTGTTTCAATCTTTTGCCTCTGTGCAACTTTGTTCACATTCCTGACATTTTTGATTGATGTTAAACGGTTCAGGTACCCAGAGAGGCCAATCATATATTACTCTGTTTGTTACAGCATAGTCTCTCTCATGTACTTCCTTGGATTTGTCCTGGGAAACAGAACAGCCTGTAATAAGGTAGATGAAAAACTACAGCTTGGTGAAACAGTAGTTCTTGGTTCCCAAAACAAAGGCTGCACAATTGTTTTTATGGCTCTGTATTTTTTCACAATGGCAGGAACTGTATGGTGGGTGATCCTCACAGTTACTTGGTTCCTAGCAGCTGGACGAAAATGGAGCTGTGAAGCTATTGAACAAAAAGCCATGTGGTTTCATGCAGTTGCCTGGGGCATGCCTGGTTTTCTCACAGTTATGCTTCTTGCCATGAACAAAGTGGAAGGTGACAACATTAGTGGTGTTTGCTTTGTTGGTCTCTATGACTTAGATGCTTCTCGATATTTTGTCCTTTTGCCCTTGTGCCTTTGTGTCTTTGTGGGTTTGTCTCTTCTTTTAGCAGGCATAATCTCTCTCAATCATGTCCGTCAAGTCATACAGAATGATGGCAGGAATCAAGAAAAATTGAAGAAATTCATGATTCGAATTGGTGTCTTCAGTGGCTTATACCTGGTACCTCTAGTGATGCTCTTGGGATGTTACATCTATGAGCAGGTGTATAGGAGAATCTGGGAAATCACATGGGTCTATGATCATTGTGATGAGTTCCATATACCCTGCCCATATCAGGTAGGGGGAAATACTTGCATAATTTATACTATCATAAAGATGCATTTGGGGATGAGCGTCTACATATGAGTGAAGTTTGGAGGATCTGCTTGAAGCAGCAAATATGGCATTGTTTTGTCTATTGCTGTTGCATGCTTTATGCTGTTAGTGAGCAGACAGTGAAAGATGTGATTGTGAAGGGGCCTTTAGTGCTAACAAGGCCTTTGTGAAGAATTGCTCTCCCACACCCCAACACTTGAATAGTGTTCTCCTAAGGCATATAAGCCATTTGTATGAATATCGAACTTTCATGGAAATACTTCCAATTTTATCGAACCCTCCTGAAGATGCTAGTGTCTGGCAGATATGATCTCCTAAATAAAAGAACTTAGAAACAGGATTGTTCTTCAGCAAAAAGAAGCAAACAAACCAAAGCTTAATATACTATTAGAACAGGAGTAAGCAACCTGGTGTTCCCCAGATGCTGGTCATGCTTGTTGACACATATTTTAACTGAGAAGGTTTTAAACCCAACTCTTGTGTTTCACTGATTTTTATGAGCATGTTCATTTTCAGAATTGGTGCATAAAACATGCTTTCCATGCCTTGAAAATGGATTGTTTCACGCTTTGTATGGATATAGAAATAAATGTTCAGCCACTGAAAATAGAGATAGTTAGAACTACCTATTTTGTAGATAGGAATAGCAGTCAAACTGGGCCACATCCTTCTAATTATACCAGGATAGATGTTATACTTATATATTATTCAGATAAGTTTATTTCAGCAGAAATTTTTACAATAGAACCTTTCCTTTTTGTTGGTGTACTGATTGCAATAGATTGCTGCCTCATGATGTTTCATAGTTCATTGTATTTAGCTTGTTCTAAGCTTTTAAAAATAACTAATTCATCAAAACAATATTTATTTGACCTCATCTAGCTGATGATTTTGAAGCTTATAAAAATCACTAGGATGATAATGGGCATGTGAATTTGCCAATATATGTAAAATATAATTATAGGGCTTGGTAAGTCAGGCAAGTAAACACTTGAGTTAAGAATCATTTTCCATTCTGTACAAGTGATTTAATATTGCAAAAAATAATAAAAATAGTACATAGTTCAGTGCCCCAAGGCATTTTAAAGATTCTGCCTCATCTAATTATATTTGGTTCATCAGTCCTGTCATCCTTTCTCTTAAATGACTGAATTGTGTTGTTGTGTGGATGTCATGAAAGAAATTGCCCAATGTCAGTTTCCACACAGAACAATAAAACACATTTTTTCTGCATTTTTATTTACTCTGTTATGCAGATGTGGCCATATTTTTTAGTTCTGAGTGTTTGACTTAACTGTGCCTGTTTTTTCCCCAGTATCAAAAATGCAGGCAAGTACTAGGGGTATTTCTCTAGGCACTAAAGAATTTCTGGAATTGTAGTCTGTGAAGTTATTTTTGCAGTGGAGGTAGCTAATTACACTGGCATTGGTCTGTATGCTTATTTTTGCACATTCAAAATAAAGTAGAATAAGGCTGTTCAGAATGCCAAATTGCATATACTACCCCCCCATTACACTTTCTTGGGCCAGTCAGGGTAACTATACAGGGTAGCTGCTATCTTATTATCAAGCTGTTTAAACCTTAGCTACTGTAAAACTGGAAACAACTTCATTGCCATTCACTTTGTCCTTAGAACTTTAATGCAGGAAAAACATTTTTCTATTGTATGCTCAATGAATGGTTATTGTTTTTCAGGTCAAGATACTAGCAAGACCAGAAATAATATTGTTTCTAATGAAATACCTGATGACTTTAATTGTTGGCATCTCTCCAGTTTTCTGGGTGGGAAGTAAAAAGACCTGTTCTGAATGGGCAAATTTCTTCAACAGAAATCGCAAAAGAGAGTAAGACTCATTTTTTGTTGTTGTTTCTTGGTGATGGTGGTTATAAAAGCATATAAAACCACACTGGGCAGTGTTAACTGACATACTTTAAAATATGTGCTAAGGACGCATTTCATGTTGTAGGAGATTAACCATCCCAAGCAAAGCTCCTATTTTTATAGTGAACATTCTGTTGCTCTCAGATTTTAGGTGCCTTTTGTCTCTTTTTTGGCTACAGCCCCATCCCCAGCGCATATGTGGACTAGCAGTAAATTTGAACAGAGAGCATCTGGCCTGGTCCAGCACTTCACTTGAGATTAGAGGATGCTTAGGAAGAAATTAAATAATTTGTGTGTCAAAGATGATGCAGCTTTTAAGTACAGTTACGAAATATAGATGAGGAATGTAGACATGGAAAAGAAAGCTTATGCCATGGCCATGTTGGGTTTGTTTGTTTGTTTAATAGGTCAGGCAATGCTCAGGGACTTTCCAAAGGTGCCTGGGTGAGCAATGCATCAGTTTCTCTTCTCTGGCCAAAAGGAAAGGACAAGGCCTCTTACAATGCATTTGACAAAGTTACTTTCTCCCTTTATGCTGTATGCATACAGGCTCTACCACCATCACTGTCCTTCCTGAGTGTGAAGCTGCTTCAGTAAGGCAATTTTCTTTTCACTGCAAAGGCAGCCCTTATCTACAGAATAATTGGGGAAAGCAGCTTCAGAGCAGTTATCTCTGCTGGTCCTCATAAAAGACTGAAGGCTAAAAGCCTTTTCATGCCTTTAAAAAATGTTCTGTCTTTTTGTCACTAAGGAGGTTCACTACACTGCCTGTTGAACCCTGTTTACCTCCTTGCTGTTACTCTGGGAGTGCCCAAAGCATATGCCTTTAGTTTCAAGGTCTAGAGCTGTCTCCAAAACATCATATAGGTCTGTGTTTTTAAACGCTGAAGTTAAGCTGGAACAAAACATCCCTCATAACTAAGCTTTCCTTGGTACACCAGTTCTTTTTCTCACAGTACACAAAAGGCTTAGATGCTTAACACTGAGCACAGGACTTTCAGTCAAACATTGTGTACCTTCTTTTGAATTCCATGTTATTGCCATGAATGATTTTACAGTATTTTACTGAATACTTATTGACTGGTTTTAGTGCATTAGTGTGCATGTAACTAAGTTAACTTAGTTATGTTTTCCTTTTCTTGAGATCATTGTTTCCTGAAAGTTTCCACAGAGAGACAATTCTGATTTAAAAAAAAAAAAACAATTTTATATCCTGCTCTTTACAGTGTCTCAGGGTGGCAATAACATAAATAAGACACAGCATCACAAATAATATATAAAATTAATATTAAAAACAATACTAATATTTAAAATACTGGAAAAATAAAAAGGGTTTGGCCTGGCGCTGAAATGAAAAAAGCGTAATTTTTTTAAAGGCTATTTTTGATGGTTTGCTCCATATAAACAGAATAAAATTATTTAGAGTCTGGAACAACTTAAAATCAGTAGGAGTTTTGACACTGCCTTCAGAAATGGGAGGGTTCATAGGTCTGAATTCAACAGTTATAGCTATGAATTAATTATGGATAAGGTTGATAATCAATATATGCTATCTTTTTCCCAATCAGTCCAATCAGCGAGAGCCGGAGAGTATTGCAAGAGTCATGCGAATTTTTTTTAAAGCACAATTCTAAAGCAAAGCACAAAAAGAAGCACTACAAATCCAGTTCCCACAAACTGAAAGTGATTTCAAAGTCAATGGGCACTAGCACAGGAGTCTCAACCAACCATGGGACTTCTGCAGTTGCAATCACGAACCATGATTACTTAAGCCAGGAGACTTTAACTGAGATCAGGAGTTGTCCAGAAACATCTGAGAGGGAGATGGAAGCAGATGGAACGCCCAGTCCGAAAGTGGAAGAAGAAGATTTCACATGCAGTGAACAGAGTGCATCACAAAAGCTATCCAGCCCTAAAGTGCCTTTGGAACAGCTGGGAAAGAGCAAGGAAGCAGACATTCAGGATATTGTCAGCCTATCTGAGAACCCAAGAAGGGTGACTGAAGGAAGGTAAGAAACTCTTAGTTTTTTCTTATTTTGTGTTTTAACTTCTATGATCTTGTACGTGTGTTTTGTTTGGGGTTCTTGAGTTATTAACAAATGTACTGAACAATGGCACAAAATTGTACAAGAAACCTTTATTCCATGATGTTACAGCATCTGTACTAGGGGTGAGCAGTGGAATTGATTCAGAGCAAAAAACAGATGTGTTCTCTTAGATAGCCACACATCTGTGCACTGAAAATGGAGTGTCAGCTATAAGTTTGACAGCTGGCTGACAATACACAGTCTTTGAGCATGGACCTGCGATATAAAGATTGAGGAAAGTGGCCAAAATGAAGGATAGTAATTAACGATGAGTCATCTTAACCAAACAGAATGACAAAGTCCCAGTTAGATGGATCATAAGAATAAGGACTCTGAAACCAGCATGAGAGCTTGTGCAGTCCTTTCGGATTTGGGAGGCTGCTAGGCTTGCAAAATGGCTCACTATCTTTTTACATCAGGTACACATTTGTAAAAGGCAATCCATTTCACAAGGTTCTAGTGAAGATTAAGAGCACTAATAGAGTAAAGTGCATTACACTTGGAAAAAAGCTAAAAATATATAAAATATAAAAGAGAATTAATGCACTTTCTATTGGAGCCAATACTTCTCTTTAGCATCTTATTGTCCAGACTTTCTGCTCTCCTTTAAGCCTTTTCCAACTACATTGTAGCAAATCTCATTGCCAGCAGATGCAGCAGTCCCCTGACCTAGCACCTAGAAATTAACAGAAGACTTGGTATCTAATTATTTAGGAAGTAAGGATGTCTTATTCCACTCTGTCCCAACCTGGCATTCTCCAGATATGCTGAACTCTGCAACTTTTACTTTACCCAGCCAGTATAGCCAATGGCCATCACTGTTCGGGATGATCGAAGTTATACTCTAACACATGTGGAAGGCATCAGGCTGGAAAAGGCTGCCTGATACTGAAGCAGATCTAGATAGCTTGCATTGTCAACTTTTGAAGGGTAGCTGGGCTACCATTGCTCTTTAACTGAAGTTGCCATGGATTAAACATTATATGCAAAGCATTTGGGAGAACATTTTTAAAGATATGTGTATTTAGTTTAATGCTTGTTTTGTTAGGTGTTCTTCAGATTATCAGTCTCGGTGTATTATGTTTCGTCTATGTGCATAACAGGGCAACTCCTAAAAGTGACATTGTTGAAACTGTTCCACTCCACATCAGTCATCCGCACCTTGATGGTTCTCAGCCAGGAAGCACCAAGGGGTCAGGCTTCCTATTTGCCCATTCCTCTTCAGACTCAAGGAAAGCCCAGGAGTCTGGTCATAGTTCAAATGCTTGACAATGAAAACATGTTAAGTGAGTAACTCCAAGCCTTGCGACAAATAGGTTCTATGTTATGCTGGAAATGACTGTTGCATTGTGTTTGGTAAGTCAGCACTTATGCCCTTGCTCGTATTTTAGGCAAACTAAAATGTTCTTTGAGGCTGCTCAGTAGTATCTTTATGTTCTGACTCCAAAACTGTACTATTCAGATGGTTTAAGTGGGGGAAAGTAATATGTAAACTACGACTTATAGGTTTTATGTCAAATCAACATAAAAGTTGATGGGGTAGGGAAAGATAGAAATTTTGAAAGGTATCAGGGAAAACATTATAGATTCAACCTCCTATTAGCAGTGCTATTCACTATTAAAAACATGAGTAGCGATGTGTGGCCCCCCAGATGTTGTTGGTCAGGGTTGATGGGAGTTGTAGTCCAAAAACTCTGTAGGGCCACACATTATACATTCCATGTTTAAACTATCATAAATAGCTACTGCAGGAAAAAGAAGTTATACTTTTTATGGGAAGTGATTAAGTTGGTGTGCCCTTAGAAAATCAGGGCAGAACTGTTCTTTGAGAAGTGGCTTAAGTAGAGGCTTGAGCTCCTCCATTTGAAACATAAGCCTCTGCCTGCCTCTGCCCACCTTATTAGCCACCTCTGTTTGCTTGCCAGGGAATCCCTTGCCCTTCCTTACTGTCCAGTAAGGCTAATAGTACACTAACCCAGAAGAATATTGGAGACCTCCTTCTTTTCTGGTGAATTTCTCTGACTTGGTAGCCCTGTAGTCTTGACTAGGAAGGCTGCAGTCTTGAAAGGATTAAAAATACATTTAATAATAAATGAAAATTGTAGTAAAGGCACTGGGTAGATGTTGCATGCATTTGTACTAGGTCTCAGTCCTAGTGCCTGCTTTAGTAGACAAGTTACTATCTTGAAATCCCTAGTGGGTTTGGGCCATTAGGAACATGCCTGATCCTGCCTAATCTTGGCAGCTAAGCAGGGTCAGGCCTGGTTAGAATCTGGATGGGTGACTTGAGTGTATAATGCTATGTTTATTGTTGTAAACTGCTCAAAGAGCTTCAGCTATAGGTCATATAGAAATGTTAATATTTTATGGTAGTTATACACTGAAATACAAAGGGGCTGAAATTAAAAGCAATATAAAGCAGCTACTTTTACAAAAGTTTAGTACAGAACTACTGTTCTTTTTAACTACTGGATGCTTGATACAGACTTCTGAAATCTTTCAGCTGTTTTGCTAAAATGTTACAGGGGAGCAGGGAATGAATAATGGCTCAGATATTACAGGCAACAACTTCAGCATTAAGCAGGCTGCTACATTTCAAAAGTTGGTTTTGAAGGCAAGGTAACAATAATTTATGGTCTATTTGATGATTTTTCCATAAATGGGCAATGACCCATGTCCCCTTTTTTTGCTTCCTCATGCCCACATAGAAATAGACATCAGAGAGACAACATACAACCTGCACTACCTATGAAGTTAGCTTTTGGGGGTTTCTTCTTAGTTTTGAGGACCTAAGCTTTAATTTCTTATAACAGTATTTTATATTTCCTATGGATAGATGGGTTAGCTTAGAAAATGGTAAGTGAAATTGCCCTCCTCCCTGCCCCCAGAATTCTTGACCGTTGCATTTTATAAACTTCAGATTGCATTTTTTTGAACCCATGTGTTTTAAATCAGCTTTGAAGAATCAACAGATCAGCTACAGCTGTCTGGTTCCAGTTTGGTATAGATGCACTTTTCTTCATATTTATAGCCCTTATTCCAGCTCTAAAGTAACCACTATGTTGCTCAAACATTGTTCTAGATTATGCAAGTGAAGAAGCCATTGAGAAGACTGTCTCATTGTCTGTCATCCTTAGTAGCTGGAATTACATGCAGTTGGTCCCGTGATTCCCTACTGTCCCTTCTCAGCTTGCAGTCCATTCCTAGGCTCTGGAGGCAGCACCTATTTGTTTCGGGTACCCTTGCAACTGAATTAGGGCACCTAATTAGGGTACCTGAATTGAATTAGGGCCTACTCTAATTCCCCCCTTCCTTTCAAATAACAGTGGGCTGCTTTGCAGAACAGGTGTAGCCCACACTTTTTCAGCCAGAGCCCTGCTTCTACAACTTAGATATAATAATGCTAAGTTTCATCTGTACACATCTTTAGAATTTTTTCATGTTTATAAACCCAGAAAAAAACAGTAAGACTTGACATACAAAGATCTTGATTTCCATTCTTTATATTTTTTTCATAAATATGCTACTCCCCAAACTTGGCTACACTAAACTCCTGCATATCTAAATCGTTTTTAATGAGACTGCAATTATTTCTAACAGGGAGGACCCTAAACAACCTGACTGCACCCAGAGAGGGCGTATGTTGATCACTGCTATGACCGCATTCATTAAGTAAAAACACTAAAAGGTTGGTCCCTCGCTAGTTTCTAACAATAGGAATAGGCTAAGCAGTGGCTGCACCTTTTGCGTTGTGTCTCAGATTTTACAAGGGCTAAAGGCTTGCTTTTAAAAAATGGAATCTGGGGAATATGGAACAACTGCACTGGCTTGAGCCTTCTAGGATACATCCATATTGCTGGGCTGGTCTCCCCTGCCGAGTCAGTAATTCTGCCATTCACCTGCTTCTCCCATTGACTGAATGGGAGCTAGTCACACCGTTTTAAAGCTGCTTTTTGTAAGTCCTTTGCTGCTGCACTACACTTCTATGCCCACTCCTGCTCTGTTCTCCAGAATTGCTTTCTGCAAATTGCAAACGAAGAGCTGTCTCCATTTTTGGTTTGTTCTTTGGCTTCACCTTCCCCTGCCTTATCTCAGACAGAAAAGAGCCCAAAGCAGTCCACTGCCTTGGGACAAGTTTAAAACAACAACAACAAACAAAACAGAACAGGCAGTTCTGAAAGGAGGGAAAGTATCTGGAATAGATTTCAGTGGAAGGAAACACTTTTGTTGATCTGCCCCAGTCCACTTCTGGCCAAGGCTTTTATTGTGTGGTCATAAGCGACAGCTGGTGGGACAGACAGAAGCACAGGAACCAAGGGGCTGCAGTAGACAAAGGCAACTAGTGCACGAGTTCCGAGCAGAGGATGTGGGGGAAGAGGCTGTCTCTGACCCATTCAAAAGTGCTAAAGCCTTCCTTCGAGTTCCACCTGACTGCCCTTTCTGTGCAGTGGGTTGCTGCTACAGCAAAGCAAGATAAGCAAAGCAAGTTTACTTTAACAACAGGAATGGGACATAGAAGGTTTGGGAGGGGGATTTCTCTTGCATGGGAGTACAACCAAAGGACTTCTCTCTGAACCCACATTTGGCTGCTACATCAGCACAGAATAGAAAAAAAGATTTTTTTTTAAAGAATAGGAATAAAGTGGAGGAAAGATAGGCAAAGGATTTGGGCTTCCCGGGTCCCTGATGCACATATCACAACTGCTCCCTTAAGCCACCAGCCCAACCATTGAAAAAATTTGTAATAAAAAGTAACTAGCATAGCAGCCTCCCTCAAACAGTGCCTATTTAGTAGCGGTGGCTCGCTTCTTGGGCTCAGTGCAAGAAGTGCACTGGCCTTCCCTGTGCTTCCACATTTAATCCTTCCCGCCCCCCGCCCCCCACATACTGCTGTCCTGCACATCGTTAGTGGCCAGAATGAGAGGAATAATAAGAGGCTAAAGGTGCAATTGTATGGTGTCCTGACATCTTTTGGAAGTCCATAGGATTTTTGGGTGGCCCTGCAGTGGGGACTTCCTACCTTGGTGCTTGGCCTCCCATCCCACCTGCATGTAGCTGGTTGTTCAACCTTACAAGGGTTGCTTACAAGGTTGTTCAGAGGCTTATGAGAAATTGCTGTGAAGGTGGTAAGCCTGCACTGTGTATGTCTATACGGTGGTTTCCCAAAGGTGTCTGGGCTGTGGGCAAGGGGAGTGTTTCTTCAGCACTGTGTCTTCCATGCCTCTCAGCATAGCCCTGCTGCAGACTGACTGGTCTCAATTGGCGATTATCCTGCCTTATTCACGGGACCCAGGCAATCTAGTTTTCTATTTGTAGAACTCCAGTGACTTTCAACCACTTCTATCTTATTATCAAAGCTTTAGTTAAGGAGGAAAACATGGAACAGTTTCACCATCTTTCTCAAGCATTTCTGGCCTGGAAAACAGATTCCTGCTGGGTTGTGTCTAGATATGTATTAAGTCTACTTACTGAGGAGAGAGCCTTCTTAAGGCAAGGGAGTTTGTACAGTTTTTTTTAAAAAAATTTCTGGACAAGAGTTATGAAAAACCAGAACTGGTTCTTTTGGTAATAAAAGCTGTGTTCTTAATTGTGTATACTATACCTGTGTTTGGGACAGTTAGTCTTTAAAAACAAGAAGTGCAAAGAAATGGGAGCTGGGGGATTTCTGCTATCATTCTTGAAATCCATCTCCTGGGCTCTTGCAATGTTTGAGTAGGGATAACATCATATTTGCTCAGTGAAAAAGCACTCTTTCTGTGCTCAGAGGAACTTCTGGTATATTTCTGCAGGCTAGAAAAAAATATGATTTGTCTACTGACCTCACTCACAATATTTAGAACCTTGCTTTTAGCAGTTTTGTTATTTTCATTGATTTAATTTCTGTTTGGTGACTGTGCTAGTAGAGGTAAGAGCGAAAACCGATTCTGTGATACTGTCAGTGTATTTTTATTACTGTTCTGCTTCTCCACATATTTGTTAGAATAACTGAATTTTTAGGCTAGCATAACCAGTTTAATATGCAGTGGGTTTTTAAAAATTCTACTCTGTGGATTATGTTATAAACACTACATAAAACTCATTAAAAAAAAATCAGATGACAACTTGAATAAAAGGGTTCCGATTGACCAACATGTTTCTTGTTTTAATCACAGTATATGGAATTTGAATGTATTATGTTATCTTCATTTTATACCTGTGTAATTTATTGCCTTAAACAAAGTATTTAAGTGGTTCTACTGAATCCTTTGCTTATTTTCAGCAGTCAGTATTCTTGTAACAATTAGGACAGACTGATAAGAGTTGTAAATAATACCTGTGAAAAGCAACTTAAATATCTTTACTGGTGCATCTGCAAGGCTTTTTTTTAAATGTATACCTTTGGGCAAATGCATTTTTACTACTGGAGTCAATAAAATTTTCTATTATGTGTTTTGAAAAAGTGTACTTGTTCATTAAGAGATTAAGGCAGGGCCAGCTCATAGAATCATAGAATAGTAGAGCTGGAAGGGGTCAAGAAGGCCACTGGGTGCTCAGTGCAAGACTCCCACGTTAAAACATCCCCAAGAGATGGCTGTCCAGCTGCACCCTGAATAACTCTGGGGTGGGGGAGCCCATTACCTCCTTAGGTAATTCATCCCATTGTCCTAACAGGAAGTTTCTTCTAACAGGCCAATTCTGTCATTAGCCAGAAGAATGCCAGCCAGCGGTGGCAGGGAGGTGTTGGAAGCTCTTGCCACATGGCCCGCCTGGCACTCCCCAGGTTAGCCTCCATCCTTAAATGTGGTGGAGAACATTGTCCTACCACCACTGTTGGAAGATTTGCATACTAATACTTCCTGCTTCTATACCTAGGATGGGTGGGGAAACCATATTGCTTTCCTCCCTCAGCAGCAAGGTACCTCTGGACAGAAGTGATTTTGAGTCTCTTAACTGGAAATTTTGTTTGCATTGTTGGATGAAGAAAGAACTCCATTGTTCTCTGCACTCATACTCATACAGTGGTCAGCTGGATGCCTCTGAAGAGTTCAGAAGCAGATCGTGGAAGTGATATGCTTTTTCTTTTTCCCCTGGCATTGTGCCTCTGAATATGTAGTTGAGGTCTTACTTGTCGTGATTAGCAGCCACTGAAAATTATCATATTTATATCCTTCCTTTTTTCCCTTTCAAGAAACTCAATGCAGCTTACAAAATTCTCCCCTTCCTTACAATCTTCTCCTCAAAACAGTCCTGTGAGGTAAGTTGGGCTGAGAATCCGTGACTGGCCCAAAGTAACCTAGAGATCTCCATGGCTAACTGAGGACTAGAACCCCGATCTCCTGAGTCCCAGGCTGCACTTTTAACCACTGCACCACGCTTTACCACACTTTTGTTTAGAATGAAATAATGTATGGCAAAATTGCCATGAAGCAATTACATATACTTGGTTCCAGATTCAGTCAGACTTGAAGGTAAAGCCTTTGAAATCAATGGAGGCTTAAGGTAGTTTGACAATCAGTCTCCTTTGATGACTGACTTGTTTTGCTTTGCTCTCTACATTTATGATATTATAAACCTCTTTCATGTTTGTCTCCCTTATCAGTTTTGTAACCATAGATGGCCCATTGTTATCCGACTTTTGTTAACAGATACTATGGAAGAGATGACAAGTTTCATTACCACTCCAATAATTTTAATTTCCTTTTCACAGCTCTGTGGCACCCCTTTTGAGATAACATAACTAGAATTTAATACCACATCCTAAATTAACACCATATATTGCTATAACTGCAGTATGAGACCTGACATGTTATTTTCAACCCTCTTTCCAATAATTCCTAATATTGCATTGCTTTCTTATTGCTTGCAAGTAAGAATGATATTGCACAGATTTTCAGTAGGCTCTTTTTTCATGGTAAGAGTGCAATTTAGCAAAATAATATCCATGTTTGTCAATATATTGAACTTGCATTAAGCACCTAGTTAGAGAAATGTTTCTAATTTGTAGCACCTCTTCTGTCATTCAAAAATGTTTTGACTACCTGCAAACAGCAGAAGGTAGGAGAAAATGTAAGCTGTACTTTCTTTGAAATTTGGTGACCTACTTCAAAGCAAAGCAGTCCCTTTTTTTCAAACTCTTTCAGTTGGATGCAACATTTTATCAAGAGTGTTCCAAGTTCTCCCAATTCAGCTGCTTCAGCAAAATGAGAAGCTTAGCTTTCTGGAAAACACAGAGAAGGCACATAAGAGCTGAATGGGATAAGAACTGGATTTCTGTTTGAAGTCTGACCACCCACTCTCACCGGAGTATCTCATTAAAACACCACATCACAGGAAAACTCAGCATCCATCAGCTGCCACTGGATGCTGTGGTGCTTTGAAGAGCTTTTGTTTGGCTGTTTAAGCAGAATCCTTGCCAATGCTCACATCTCATATTTACATACGGAGAGAGAGAGGGAGGGAAATGGGTGCATCAAAGGCAGTACACGTGGCTTATGCAGCACGGCCTTTGCATTTTTTATTTCTCTTCCTGGGATCTATGATTCTCTTCCTGTTTGTTTTTATGAAAAAATGAAAAATTATGTTGCAACTGATTAATCAGAATCTTATTCACAAGTAAAAATGCCTCTCCCATAGGAGGTCCAATCTGTACTTCAGGTTTAAGCAGCTTATGTATCAATATCATGAATCTTTGGAGGGGGGAGGCTCACCTGACACTTATTCTTGCCTAAATCAACCAGGGAATGTGAAGGGATTTCTGTACGTGGGCAAAAATGAACAATGTTCTAGGATAAATAGTACCCTGGGTAAGGAGCACTTTCAGAAGCATCTCGCATCCCTGGTCAACACATACCTCTAAAAAAATGTAGTGCTTTAGTGTGTACAATATTTGTAAAATGTATAGTGCTTGTTAATAACATCTCAAAAATAGGGATGCGCTCTGCTGATTTTTTCTACAATGAATATCAAAGTGAGTATTGAAAATATACTTTGAAGTTAAGGGTTAAAGTTCATTTTTGTAGTTGGTAACTCAACAACTTGTAAAACTTTGAAAGAAGGGGTTAGCTATTTAGGATGCAATCATGAAAGTTTCAACAAGAAAATTTCCACAATTTCCCAGGCAACCATTGTGTGTTTGGGAATCAGTGTAAATAACATTAGAATCTTTATTTGCATGGTTTAAATCACATTGTTCCTAAAAATAAAATCATAAAAGGTCATCTTCAGTACCACAGTTTGATATATACACTTATGGGAGAAGATATTTTCGATCTTTTTCTCATGGCTTATTCATACTGCTAGTTTTTAAAAATCCTCTATTAAAATATAATAGAAATTACAGACTTACAACAGCAGAACAAAAGACACAAAATCAGCTCTCACATGTCTTGATCTGTGTGGAATGCATTGTTTATGTAGTGGTGTAGGCCCCTTGAAAGCCTTTTACCAAAAGCTGGAGTGGAAATTTAATAACCATAGTATCCTCAAAACAGTAAACAGAAGCTGGACAGCATATTTGCATCAAGAGCTGCCACTTTCTTTAATTTCCTGTGCCTATAAAAGCTTCAGAAGTAGATCCCAGAATAATAGTGAATGAAGCTGCATAAGAGCTTGTTGCATTAGCTATGAAATTAGGCAAGCTCTGACAAAGCATAATTTAAAAATAAGTTGGTACATTACACAGGCTGTCTTTAAAATAAATACTAAGATTTTTTCCTCACTTTTGAGAATATAATTATTATTTAACATTAAATTACACCAAAGTATTTGTGGTAAAAATGAGCTTGCTTTGTTATCCAGCCTGTGCCAGGGCTGTCCCTAAGTAAACAGACCAGGCTATGCTCCTGCACATCTTCATTACACTGAGCTCAGGTTACAGTAACTAACATGTTCTATGTAAGGCTGCTTTCAGAACTGTTCAGAAACTTCAGCTGGTGTAGACTGTGACATCTCCGACTTCTGGTCAGTTTCTAAGGCCAGTTCAAAGTGCTGGTTAATCCCTCCAACCTGGATACCTAAACCTGCCCCCTTTCTGTCACATGCTGCAGATCATCAGCATCCCTTGCTCCATGTCCACCAATGGGAGATGGCCTCTGTTCTGGTACCCAGCCTTGAGCTCCCTGCCCTACAGGGATATAGACAGCCTCCTCCTCGATGGCTCTTAAATGTCAACTACAGCCCTTGTTATTTCAGGGTGCCTTTGGCATGACAGGTTCCTGAGTTTGTGTTCTGTGGTTTTTAACATGTTCCTTGTGGTTTTCCCCCTTTTTAAAATCTTTCTGGTTGAAAAATAACTGAGTAATCCTCATGTTGGAATGGCAGACTGGCTTTGTACTGAGGCGTTTCTTTCCAAAGTGATTTGCTATGCATCCATGGTGCATATTGTTTAAAGATTTTTTTTTAGATGGATTATGTTAGTCAAGTGGGCAGGCCCCAGCAAGCCTCACAAATAACTAAAGTAAATATGAACAATAAAACATAGTTTCCTGTCAAGAAATTAAATGCTTTGCCTTTGACTCACAAGTACTGACAATTGCCAGCAATTAACCGGAATAATGCCAGAGTTCAAGAATATCTAGTTTTAGCGGCATCCAGGTGAAATTGGTATGCTTTGCCTTTTAACAAGAGTGTACTTTATGTTAATGTTTTGGTTGTCAGGGTTGTTCAGTCTGCTTTGGGGAGGCTACCATCAAAACACTGAGAAATAGCTCTAGAGTCTACTATGCCAAGAGTGGCCAACTGGTGGCCTGTGTTGGAAGTATCTCGATGACTTCATGCTTTTGGCCCAAGTACATAACTCAACACTGGTGCGCTATTTGGCCTGGGGGTACTGACTTAGCCAGGTTTTTGTCTTCTGACTATCTACACTGAAAGTGGATGTGTGATGGCTTCTTCCTCTGCCCACACATCATTATCTGAGCTGAATGTACTTAAAGAACCTGTAGCTTTGGAGGGGCAGGTGGTACAAGAAAAAGGCTGTTTAATTTTTTTTGCTGTAGGTGGGAGAAAAAAGAAGAGAGAGCACCACAGTACCATTCCTTGGCGATGGCTGGCATCAAATCAAGAGTTGATAGACCTTCTCAGCAGCTTGACCTGCGAGGAACAAAATTATACATGGTGTGGAGAAGGTGGATAGGGAGGCATTTCTTTTGCACACAAATAATATTAGAATCTGGAATCAACTATGAAACTGATGGGAAGTATAAAAGGAAGTACTTCTTCACACATCACATAGTTAAAACTGTGGAATTCACTGCTAGAAGATGTAGGGATGGCCACCAACTTTGGTGACTTTGAAAGGCAGGGTTAGAAAAATCCATAGAGATGAAGCTGACAATGGCTATTGGTCCTAACAGCTGTATGTTGTCCTCAGTATCTGGGGCAGTATGGCTCTGAATGACAGTTGTGGGGAAGATGAATGGGAGGCAACTGGTTAGTCACTGTATTTGTATAATTCTGACTAGATAGGTTTTCATCTGATCCAGCACAGTTCTTCTTATGTTAACAGAATGGAGAGCATCAGGTTGGGGAATCATAGAAGAGTTGGAAGGGGCCATGAAGGCCATCGAGTCCTATCTCCTGCTGTTGCAAGACACTATGTTATACCATCCCACTCAGATGGCTGCCCAGGTTCTTTTTGAGTGTCTCCTGTGAGACGGGGAGGCTGCATAACAGAGAGCCTGGTGATGGGGAGCTTGGGCAAAAGGAGAACTGAATAACAGTGTACCTACCACAAATTTTGATACATTTTTTCAGGCTAAATTGACACCATATGAAAATCTAGATTTAAAATATTTAAGAACATATTTTTATTTTTATGGATGGATAAATTGATTTTTCTTTTGGATCAACTAGTGGGTGCTGATTACAAATTTTTGTCATTCTCAGCTTTGCATGCCAAAAAACATGGGTCAAGTTTGACTGAATGGCAAACAACACCTAGATTTGGCCTGTCACTTTTACTCTTTATGCATTGAGGTCAATCAGTTGCATTCACCCACAATCCTTCTTTATGAATACACATCGTTGATGAATAAACATGATACAAAGGACCTTAAGCAGGAATGGAACAGAGAACTGGAATTTCCAATTTTGTTAATCAATAGATTGCCATTTTAGTGCCTGTATCTGAAACATCTACACATCTCAGGTTTTATTCCACAAAACTCTTGTTCCATGTCTATCGATCACCACAATGACTTTCTAATAAGGGTCTGTCTGGGAAATTGTTGGAGGTGCAATACAGCAAATGCTTCTTTTAACCATATATTTTGTTAATGTCTAATAGTAGCTTCTTTTTGGAGGAGAATATTATATGAATAAATCTTGCACTGGAACGTTCTTCAGTATTTACTGATGTACATGTTCTCTTAAATTATCTGTCTGCTTCCTAAGAGATAATGCATGGTCAGCACATATAAGATTTTTCGTGCCCTTTTGACAGGTAAAATCTACTATCAAAGCACTGGTAGGAAGATACTTCGCTCCTATAATGCAAAGAGGTAAGGAGTCAACAACACTTTTAACAGTTAAATGGATGATATATAGGCAACACATACAAACAGACACTTAATAGATATTTGGTCTGTTCTTCTTGTATAATTCTTTGAAAGCTGTATTTTTATGTATTTCATATATATGCATTGAGATCGATATATTCAATCTATGTAGCTATGTTTTTCTCCCTTTCCTCTTTTTTATTTTAAAAAACAAAGCAGACCAAAAACCCTGAATGTGTTACTGACTTCCATGCAGGCATCAGCATCCAGCACGATGGGACAATTCCTGGGGCTCTGCCTCTACTACTAATGCAGCTCAGCTGGTACAGCTGTGCCAACACCTTGTATGAGGCACAAATACGAGGCATGGAACCCAGCTTTGGATATATTTGGACTTCCTCTACCTCTGGAAAATGGGGATCCCAAACAGTATGAAACTGTATGAGTTGGTTTGGAGATATTTTACCTGGAAGCTGGCTTGTACTTGTGAAATCCCTGTTTGGTCATTTCTGAGCCGTACACAAGGAAAATATGAGCAGGGGTAGAGGGGCTGGTAGACAGATGTATTTTTCTTTCTTTCTTTTTTATAAAGAAAGAAATGAAAAAGTTACCAAGGGAACTTGTACAAAAATTACATATAACACTAGATGTTCTCAGCTCTGTGAACCCTCCTTGCCTGAAGCAGTATGTGGTTTGGTCTTTGAGGACTTTACAAAGATGGGCTTTATTCTAGGCACACACTCTAGCATCAGATTTATTACATTTACCACCCACCAGCTGTAGCTCTCCACGCTGTTCACCAGAAAAAAGCTGAAAACCATGAAATGCAATAGCATAATACATCCATGTCCTAACACTATTTTTAAAACTGAAAGTCTAAAGACTGGGAAAATCCTTCACCCAACACCAAGAAGACCACATTATAAGTGTCAAGCAAGTTTCTCTGGGGAGGTTGTTTCACAAGCATATACATATGCATGCCCATGCACACATATGCACAGACATAGAGAAAAGACAGCCAGAGTCTGAAATCGGGGAGAATTTGACATCTGTGCTATTGAAATCAGTGGTTTTACAGAGATGCATAGGATTACATGCTTAACCACAAAGGAATTTCTGTGCCTTTAAATTTAATCTAATTCTAACCTATATTAAAAATGTTACAGGCATTTGTTGATTTTCCCATTATAGTCTATGGGGAAGCAGTGCCACTGCAGCTATCCAGGGGCCAGCACAACCCTATTAAGGCACCAAAGTAACTATTCCTAATGAACACTTTTCATGTAACACCACCTCCTTCTCACACTGTGTTTGCTTATACATACCTATGAAGCCGTTATTCAATGCCATTACTTTCCATACAGGTCTGCATTTATCACTATTACCTGTCGGAAATGCTCTGCAGTGTGGGTTTTTTTGGCGGTAAGCCGCCTTTGTGTTAATATGTCCACCCCGCCCCCGCGCGTTGCCTGCATGGAAAGAAAACCCGGGCTGTGCTCATGCATACCAGAAGGCAAGGAATGTGTTGCATCTGGAAATGTAAGCCCCTCACGGAGGACGAAGTGAAGCGGGCGCATTCTTCTCACCTGGCCCTCATCCAAAACGGTTCTAGAGCAGCGCGCCGAGCGGGGTTTGCCGGCGCGGCGAAGGAGCCGCGCGCCGCCAGGCGGCCATTCTCGGGCAGCTCCGCGACCGCGCGCCGCTTCAGGGAGCAGGTATCGCTCAGACGCCGGCCAGCCAGCCTAGTGTGCCTCGCTCGCCGGCGCGCTCTGCCTCGGCCATATTCGTCTCGCGGTGGGAGGAGACCCCTTCTGCTGCCCCTGGGCCATCCGCTGGCGAGGACGCTGCTGCTGCTGCTGCCTAGCGTGGCCAGCCGCGCATTCCTGCCGGTCCCCCGGGAGGGAGCTGGGGGGGCTTCGCTGCAGTGAAGGGCACGTCTGTGCGCGCGGCGGCGGCGGACACTGCCCCATTCATCCGCGCTTTCCGTCGACGCAGGGCTCCTCTCTCGGCCAGGTCCACGAGCAGCAGCAGTTGCCGCCGGCCATGAAGCTCCTGCGGCCCGCCGTGCCGCCCCCTTGGCCTCCGCTTGCCGCGGCGCTGCTGCTCCTGCTGGGGCTGCTGCTGGCGACGGCCTCGCCGCCCGGGATGTCGGAGAACCCCAAAGGGAGGCAGAAGGCGCTCCGTCAGAGGGAGGTGGTGGACGTGGTGAGTGCGTCTTGAGGGGCCCTGCTCCGAGCACAGCGCGGGGGCCTCGCCCGGGCAAAGCCGCGGCCCCTGCACCCCGCGCTTAGCGGCGAGGGCGCGCGGGCTGGCGCGGAACCGATTGCCTCTAGAGCACGCGCCACCGAAAGGCGCTGCTGCTCCTGCCGCGTCCCCCCCCCCCTCGAGCAGCTGCCCCCTTTAGGAGGCGCTCGACACATTGCGCGGAACGTGGCGATAACCCGAAGTGGCAGCGCTCTCGCTGGACTGTACCTCTTCAAGGCTGCTTAGGGGGTGGCAGTCTTTTTAAGGGCTCCATCACGTGTAATAAAGCACGCCTTTGCTAGCGCTTCAGGGAGACATTCTGTCCTGTCTTCTTTCCTTTACACGCAGGGAGGTTAATACTAATGCTATCAGAACATCTAATATTCGCAAGATGTTATACAAAGATTAAGATATACAAACAGACGGGATAGATGTGAAGCAAAAGGAGAAGCGGACGGGAGGTTACAAGAAAAGAAACCGATGGGAATGCTCATTCTTTCTGACTATTTGGAGTGCGAATCCAGAATTCGCCAATCCTAGCCTTCTCCAACCTGGTGCCCTCCAGGAGTGGTGTTCTGCTACTCTTGCCATTGTTCCCAGCTAGCATAAATAGCCATACCGCACGGGAATGATGGGAGTTGCAGGGCAACACAAGTAGAGGACAGCAGGCTGGAGAAGGCTATAGTTTACCATAGCTGTTGTTATGACCTGAGCTTGCTCCCTCTGCTACTGGAGGGCTGGGAAAAAGAAAGCTGTGGTGGGACGCTCTGGCAGTAGAGAATGAGTAATCTGACTGATCTCTTCGCAACTTTGTTATTACTGAGCTGAACCTTTAGGGGAATGGTTAGTGGGTTTCTTAAACATTTTTCCTTGCTCAAGTCATTCATTTCCATGTTGGACACATCAGCAGAGCTGGCAGGAGTAGGCGGTGGCTGCAGACATCACCACATCCTCTCCCCAAACGTATATCCGTTGGGGGGAGCACTGCCCAGTGAAATCCAAGTGCGCGTGTGAGAGGGAGGTGGAGGTAAATGCAAGGAAGTAGAGAAGTAAGTGGCTCTCTCCTCAAAATAGAAAGTAATGCTCTTGCTCTTGGCTTACTGCTTGGGACTGAATTGGTTAGTTATCATATGTAACCTAAAACTGTATAGATGATGAGCATGGCTAGCAACTAAACGGTGGTGCTACTGTGTCATTTTAGAATCTTGCATTATGAACCTTCCCCTTGCCATCATTTGTAGATTCTTTGGTTGTAAAGAATGCCATTACCATTTCTTTTAACTTCTCTTGTTCTCTTAATTACAACAGTTTCCACATTCCTGATATGTGACAGATAAAGAAAACTGTTTGGTAATTGCAATTTTAAAGAAGAAACACTTTGAGCACATGCGGTTTTCACATTTTAAACTCATTTAACTCAGCATCATCATGACTACTTGAAAAATTGTCACACAGAGGAAGGCCAGGATCTCCCCTTGATTATTCCAGAGTGCAGGGCACAGAATCATGGGATCAAGTTATAGGAAGCCAGCTTCCTGCTGAACACAAGGAGGAACCAATTATCAAGGGAACCAATTATCTAGGGAGGTTCTGGGTGATCCCACACTGGAGACATTCGAGATGTAGCTGGACAACCATCTGAGAGGGCTGGTTTAACTTGAAGTCCTGCACTGAGCAGAAGGTTGGATCCAATGGCTTCCTTGGCTCCTTCCAGCTCTACTAATTCTAGGACTCTAGCAGCAAAATGGAGCTTGCTTCTGCTTCACAGAAGCAAAACAAGCATAAAGAAGCACCATTTTGTTGTAGAAAATGATATTGTTTAAAAATGAGCATCTGTAACAATCTAGCTTCCTGCCAGCCCCCAGGGAGTAGCCACTTATTTCTCTCCTTTGCTGCGAGATCCTTAAGGGTTCTTTGGTGGGACTTGTATCCCAAGGCTGCCCTCAATTTTGCACATGCTCCTGATATTCCATCACCTTAGGTGCATACAAAAGTGTAAGCTAATTTACTGGAGTAAGTGTTACAGCTGGAAAAGATAAAGTTCCATTTTTAAGTGGGATTTAGAAAGGGTTAGAACAATTCCTGCTCCACCTCCAGGACACAGCTATATAGACTGCATATACATGTATACTTTTTTGCCCCAGTTTAAAAAACCCTTTCTGCGTTCTGTTTCTAACAGATGTGAACTGTGTAGTGTAGTCCATGCGGTTGCACAGATGGTTGATTGGCTGGCATGCACGTGCACACACACAAATGCAACTAAGTATTGCAAAGAAAATGTGAATTTTGCTTTTCAGTATAATGGGATGTGTATGCAAGGCCCTGTTGGTGTTCCTGGAAGAGATGGAAACCCTGGTGTCAATGGAATTCCTGGAACCCCTGGTATCCCTGGACGAGATGGACTTAAAGGAGAAAAAGGAGAATGCATGCGAGAAAGCTTTGAGGAATCTTGGACACCTAACTACAAACAGTGCTCATGGAGTGCCCTGAACTATGGCATAGACCTTGGAAAAATTGCAGTAAGTTAACATAACTTGGAATATATAATGTTAGGGTTCCATAACTTGGAATATGTTCAAAATACATTAAGGGTGCAAAGGTTTGATAAGAATGTTTTCCACATTGTTTGGGTTTGAGTAATTCTTTCCCAGTAGATGTTTCCTTATGGAATACCACTTAAAATGCAAAACAAAACCCAAGCATCTTCTAAAATAAGAAATAGTAATCACCATTTTCAATACGTAACTTGATCTTGTTTTCTAATAGGAATGTACATTCACAAAGATGCGCACCAACAGTGCTTTGAGAGTCCTCTTCAGTGGATCGCTTCGACTTAAGTGCAGAAATGCTTGTTGTCAACGATGGTATTTTACATTTAATGGAGCTGAATGCTCTGGGCCACTTCCCATTGAAGCCATAATTTATTTAGATCAAGGAAGTCCAGAGTTAAATTCCACTATTAACATACATCGCACTTCTTCAGGTATGTATCAAGACCGTATAATAAGGTCAGTGAGACTTATTATCAAGGTCAACCAAGTCAGGTACTAATCTGAAATGCCCACCAGGTTACTCACCTGGTCAAGTAGTAACACTAGTAACAGGGTGATAAGTATATCCCAATTTTTCTAATGGTAAAGAACATTGCAGATTTCCCCAACCTGATTGGCTGGGCATGCTGAGAGTCATAATCCAATGTATCCTGAGGGCACCAAGTTGGGAGCGGGTGAACTACTGGCTCTTTAAAGTTAGATGGAAGAAAGCTCCCAGCACCCACCTTCTAAAGTTAGAGAGGGTTCCAAACTATGAAAGTTGAGCCTGCTAAAGTTATTGTTCTTGAAATTTGCTCTGACACACCCACAAAAATATAAGGTGACAACTAAATATTGTTAACCCTTCTATTAAAATAAGAGCAGGATTATGTTTACTAACAGCTACTATTAGCTAATGGAAAGTTGTATGGAAAGTTGTATGTTTTTAAAGGAAGCAATGCTATTTCTGCTGTCATACTGAATAGCTCAATTTTTAAAGAATGACATTCTAGTTTTAAATGTAAAGTACGTTTGAAAATACAGATAACGGGTACCAAAGTCTTGTCTCCTCTGCCACCCCTCACCATGAGTTCTCCACTAAGCACATAAGGGTAGAGTAAGGAACATTATAGGGACATTACATTAGCCCTCTCAGGTTCCTCCCAGGTGATGTGACCATGTGGAATTGAGTATTGCTTCCTTCACTTCAGCCATTAAGCTTTTCAAGTCCTAGCTAGCCAGAGAGTGTATCTACTGAACTACCTCTGCTCTATTATTATAGAAAATAATTCTGGTTCCCCTAATTCTTTTGATGGGGGGACTCTAGAATTAGTAGAGGTCCTCACCTACATTGTTTAACCAAATTTCCTATTCTTTGTATGCTGATATTCCCCCCTTTGAGGTTGTAAATTTAGAGCAAAACTAGCTTAATATTTTCTTTCAAACAGTGGAAGGATTATGTGAAGGAATCAGTGCTGGACTAGTGGATGTTGCTATTTGGGTCGGTACCTGCACAGATTATCCAAGAGGAGATGCTTCAACTGGATGGAACTCAGTCTCTCGCATCATTATAGAAGAATTGCCTAAGTAGAACTCTTTCAGTGATATTCCCCTGCCCCAACTCTATGTTCAATGCTTTATATAACCAGTGGTAAATCTTAAAGTGCAGGGGCTCATTGTGACAGCCCTCACAGCCACATTCCCAAGAAGAGTCCAAAAAATGTAGGCAGTTGTGTTGATCCATTTCAATGAACCAGTTCTAGTCACTGTCACCTCTGCCACAAGCAGATCTTTTACAGAGCTAATGTATTAAGGTTGGCCATTCCAGACTAAGGATGCAATGCTATGCATGATTAGAAAGAAAACATTCCTAAAATTCCCCACATTCCTCAGGCACCTGGGAATTGTAAGACTGGGGTTTTTTTAATATAAAAATGTATATGCCACCCAATGTGTTACAAACGGAAACATTTCCCACCAGCTACTGTGACAATTGCAGCAACATTTGGGGAACAAGGAAGTCTGGGGGAGCAGATGACTTCAGTATAAAAAACTGCCAGCCTGCACCCCTAACACTTTTGTATATAACCATTTCCTGCACAGTCCTTGAACATTTCTGTATAAAAAACAAGCTCGAGTATAATGCATAAGCTTCTATAAAGAAACAGAAATAACCAGTAAATTTTCAAACCTTTAAATACATTTTCTACAATATTTTGAATATACTGTAGCAGCAATCTCAATTTACATATTATTTTTGTACAAATTCTAGACTATTCTTACATATGTTAAAGATAATTTTATAAATAGCCAAATAGATTTAATTAGCAAGCAGCATTTAATTTTATTTAAGCATATATCTATCCTAGCCCAAAGTGTGCTTTTACTTTAAAGTTCATGGTTTTAACTATGGAGAATGGGGAAACTACTTTTTCTATTTAGAATAAAACAAGGGATTCAAAAAGAATTTATTGAAATACAGAATTCTGATGCAAATGATTTAAATTTTAACAATTAAAATCTGTTTGCTTGCTACAAAATTACTTCTTGATTCTTCAGGAGCCTGACAGGTGCCCACATGCTCATTCTGTTACATACAGAATGGTGCTATCTCTGCAGTGCTAGGTGGATAGTTCCACACAAGTATGTCTGCACCAATTTACAGGAATGGGGAGGTTTAAACTTGCCTATTGAGATTAGGGGACGCATTTGCTGGGAGTGGGGAGGTTTAAGGTACCACCCCATCCAGATCATTTCTTCATGTACTGCTACCAGCATATCTGTTCATTATCCCACAGCTGAAGAGCTGCACAGCAGGGAAGTGCGAGTACATCCTTGACTATTGTTATATTGGTTGGGATGATGGGAGCTGTATTTCAGCAACATTTAGGGACACAAGGGACTGTACAAGTCCGTGGTACAAATATGAAGCAATATGTGAAAAAGGCAACTTGAACCCAAAAACTCAAGCAGGATGTATGAATGGAACTTTGCGTGTGCTTTCTCTCATGTACCCAAACTTCATATAAGGCTTCCAGCTTTACATGACATTTATGGAATACTCACAGACATTTAAAAATGGGTTTTCTGGAAACCTTTTAAATCCATCTGTGTTAAGTCTATCTTGGCATTCATATACATAACTACACATAAGAGAACTATGAGTTAAGTCATGTAATTAATAAAACATCTGTGATATGAAAGAACATTAGCACACATACATCTGTATATAAGTTCCTTTCTGTATTTTTATTAACATTACTCTAAATCAAAAAATACAGTGACTGTATTCCACATCATGTGAAATATGTTCTATTTGAACAGACACATTTTCTAGTAGAATAAAATATAACTGGATGGCAAAACAAAAAGTGCTGTCGGCTGACTGTTTAAACTGTTTCTGAAGTTTCAGCAACAGAAATGGGAGATTGCGTCACACTAGTTACATGGTACATGTGAGCTGGAATCCAGAGAGCTTCCGCTCAAAAGGAACCTGTGCTAATCTAATAGACTTTGCTCCTGCTCTTTGGGCAAATAACTTGCACACCCCATTGATGATTGCTTAATTCTACACAAATGGAAAAGCAGTTTGCTTGTGGGGTTTCAAGAAATATTTTGTTCATAGTTCTTATCCTTGTCATATAGTAGTTAGATTGCAATTATATCCTTAGAAAAGAGTACTGATCACTACAGGCAATTGGCTGTTTTCAAGCAATCCTTTAACCTATTAATTCATTTTATTTAGGTTTCACATCTTCCATGTAAATTTTTTAAGAAAATTAGCAGCACACAAAATTTGATTATCAACAACAAGTTACACTATTAAGTGCTGTGACTACAATCCAACGGCAAGTTAATCAAGATTGAACTTCCTCCCTTGTCACTTTCTGCCAGACAGTGAAAACTTTCCCGTTCCAGCAAACTTGTTTAAGGGCAGGCAGTTGAGGTTTCATGTGGGGAACCTTAATTTAAGGCTTAGCCTGTTTTTTGTTTTGCTTTGTTACAGACTGTGCTATTGATGATTATGAGCTTCTCTGGAAAATGAAACTATGTTAGAAGGGCATAATACATATATTTCAATAAAATCTAACTTTCAGTGTTGCAAACCTGTGCATACTTTCTTGGGAATGTTATGTAAAAGGCTGGGTTTGTGCCAATTCCAGGTTTTCTGCAGCCCTCAGATATCCTATATGGTTCCCCTTCCAAAGTGATTAGAACCCACTCTTCCCAGCAGCTGCTTCTGTTCCTTACCACAGCCCAGAGAAGAGCAGAAGGCTGGCCAGGGACAAGCAGCAAGCAGGCTGGTGAAATGGCTGCTGGGCTCGCAATGACCAGTGTGATGGTCAAAAGCAAGTTGGAGTGATGGAAACAGTGGCAACTGCTGTGCCTGGGCACCCTTCCATGGCCATACCCATTGCTCATGCTGGGCCTGCCAAGGATCAGGCTTCCTGCAGGTTTAATTTTAAATACCATGATTATAAAAAAGAGACACCAATATTAAGTTTTTTTATATATATTCAGTTTTAAAACATAATGTTGACATCAATGAAGAGACACAATAAATCTTTGTTTTAAAGATAACATGGAACCTTAGCCCATTTTGAAATGCACTGAATAATATGGTGGACGTGCTTTTCCAGTACTATCCTGCTGTATCTAGAAACTTCCCCACTGCATTTTCATTTATCGTGGTTCTTACTAATCATGGAATGGAAGGATTTGGAAAGCTGAGGTCATTGCGGATATACATATACAAAATTTATTGAAGAGGTATTTGAGTAAACAAAAATATGCAATATATTTGAAAGGTATCAACTGGCTTGTGACCTCATTCCATTTAGCATTTTTACACCATAAGGTCCCTGCCACTGTATAATTCTAGTCCACCAATTCCCATATTACAGGGCTAGACAGAATAATTTACCGCAGAGCAACAACAACAGATGAAGAGTTGTTGCTGTGCTACATTTCCTTTAGTCAGTTATACGGTTCAGCTAGAATAATATTCCAGGCCAAGGACGGCATCCTGAAATACGCAGCTAGCATAACAAAAGGTGTTAACAGTCTCCAGCTTATTCTGTGAAAACCAGAAAAAAAATCAGTCCCAAGTCAGACAACTTGCAGAATTCCTAATATGCTGCAGAGCAAAGGATCATCTTGCCCTAGGACTCTTCAGTTTTTAGACAACTTTCTTATAGCCAAGTAACAGTTGGGATACTTTTTCATACACTACAAATGTAATGCAACATGCAGGAGTGACTCTAATCACATTAGGTATGATTCCTTTGTAAAATCCATGTAATCCTTCTTTCCTATGGAAAAGGAGAAATTTACCTGAAATTTCCAAGCATATAGGATACAGAAAAAAAATTCAACAGATTTTAAATGCTTCTTAATGGATATTATTGGAGTACTGCTACCTTGATTGTCAGCGACAGAATGATGAGGCACAAATATAAACAATTACCTGAACAGTCTTTGAAATTCAGAAATCCCACTTCTATGATTCTATTAAAATATAAAATCTCAATATTTAGTCAAATACTGAATGAAGGAAAGCACTGAAAAGGATTACGCAGAATATATTATTGAAAACTAAATGTTATGATCTGGGATCTCTAAATTCCAATAGACAAGCTACCTAAGAGTTTTCTTATTTGATTTTAGTGCAATTACATTGTGATATGCCCTTCCCATTATTGCTTTTCTAGTGCAATCCTATGTTTTATCAGCAGTGAGCCCTGCTTTGTTCAATGGAGTTTATTCCCGTCCTAGGTAAGTATACATAGGATTGCAGACTTAGTTTCTTTAGCATTGTAGCAATGCCATTCATGCTTGTTTTGGTTTGCTCTTGAATCATAAAATATTTCTACTGAACATACCAGAATGAAAAAAAAAATACTGGTGTACATTAATTGTACTAAAGAGTTAGCTTTCACATCAGATTTAGATCTTCAGACCTACCTCCACGTCCTACAGATGACATCAATTACTCCTGAGTATCTGTTGTGCTGATCCTGAAGACGTGCTCTCACAACCTGATATGGGTATGTTGCCGAAACTGCAAATATTTTTGAAAATGCTGCCATTGTGATGTATTCCAAAGTGTTCTAAAAATGAAATACTAATATTATTTTCCAAAAATGGTGCTAAATGACTGCATTTCACATTTCATATTGTACTTCTTCTCCTTATTATGACAACAATACATTTTGGGAATTCAAACAAATTTATGATATAACAAAAGCAATACCTGTTTTCAGTTATACAAGTGAAATATAATACTACCTTGTAATTATGCTTTACATAATCAGTACAATGGAAGCATATGATTTATTTTCTTACCAATTTCAAATCTGATTGTCTGTTTCGATATCCATTGTATTTTGATTTCAATTCCTCATAAGCCATGAACTGAAGTGCTCCATGTGATGTTCCAAACAGACCAGGCACAAATCCCTAAACAGACATGTTTTTAACAGTTTAAAATGCCATGAAAACTGACATATCTGCAACACAGCTTTACAGTTATAAGTTTAAAATACTATATTTCCAGAACTGACATTTAATAGAAAAATAAGTAGAATCTTGCCAGGCAGTGTCATATGTGATGAGTTGCCATGCATAAGCAGGGGCAAATAGGTACAACATCTGCAGCACAACCACCAGTTCCATTTTTGCTCCCACAATCAGCTGCTTCATAGCTGCTGCCTATCTCGTCTGTACTTAGACTGATGGATTGTTTAGGGGGTAGGAAGGAGATCACTGTGGGTTGTACAGGAAAAACAGCAGTGGTGGGTGCATTGCAAGGCAGCCTGCTTGTTCATTCTGACAACCCATCAGGTTTTAAACTGAAGGGCTGTCATGTACAAGACAGGTCAGTATCTTGCATCTTCCTTGAAGGCCCTACCCCCATCATTTTAAACAGTCACCTGTAGTAAATGAATGACAACTAAACAATAGTTTAATCCCTGCAATTACAGTACAATGCTTAGAAGTAGGTGTTAAGCATCAATATCAATAATGTGAAAGAGGATTTTTTTTTAAACCCATAAATTCCTAATTAGGTGATGTTAGTGGAATACATTTCCATGGTCAGGGCCTTATTCAGCCAAAATGGAAAGACCAGAGTTCACTAGGAGACAAATCTTTCAGGTCTCCCATATCAGAAACTCCTCAACTGTTTCTCAGGTGTCAAGAACTGAAAAGCTGCTTTGCATTTAGTCTATCACAAGAATGCCCAAACTGTTCCTAGTCTGTATCTTGTGGTTTTTCAGTCCTTGCTTGTTACAAAAGTACCACATAAGAAGTGTTGGCACCTACTTTAAAATGCAGCATTCCTACAAGAGAGCAATTTTTTTCAGTTTAGGAGAACTGAGGAGGAGAGCTGGGAGTGTCTCATGAAGAAAACAGAAGTTTTAGGGAGACTGCTAGTTGGAGATTTTCCCAAGTAGAAGGCCATCTCCTATTAACACATGAGATGCACCATTTAAAAACTTCCCACATGTACAATTTCTATAGGAAAGCCTCCCTTGAAAGGGACTGCAATAAAATATGTTAATATATTTTGTTCCTATTCATGTTGTGGCAAGCATTTTTTTTTCTTATAGAGAAGAATATACATGAGTAAGCGATGAAACATATAGACCATTCCACATGGATGGGGGCTAACAAATCAAAGCTTAGTCCAGCTATGCCTCCATCTGGACAGAGATAACTAGGCTTTAATAATCTACACTCTGATAATCTCTAAATTAGTTTGCTTCAATGTACCCTACATGGGGCTAACTTGAAGAGTGTTCAAAAGCTGCATGTGCTGCAAAAGGCAGCAGCCAGATTGATGACTAGGATACAGTGGCTAGACATGCAACACCAAGTACAGTTCACTTGCTTTGGCTGCCTATAAACTTTTGAGTCCAATTGAAGGTGCTGATTTAACCTATAAAGCTTTATACAATTTGGAACCTCCGTGCTTTTCTCAACTGCAACCGACCCACAGTGAGCAATTTCTGCAGTCTTTCTTCAAGTGCCCCCTCCAAGGGAGGTTTGGAGGGATGCAACAAGGAAGGATGCTTCTCAGGAGTGGCCCCCAGCTGTGAGATGATCTCCCCACTGAGGTCTCCCTGCTGCCAACATTGTCATTCTTTCAGCACCTGGTTAAGATGGTCCTCTGTGATCAGACTAGAGATATGTTATTTAAAGGATTGATAGATATAAATGTCTGGGACCTTACAGATCAGTTTAGTACTAAATACTGTTTGTTACAGCTGCTAAATTGTTTCAACATTTTTAAACTTTTTAAAAATATCATATTACAGAAAACTCTTGTGGGTGCCTTGGTCATTCTATGATACTCTTTGGAACTGTTGTAAAATGCCCAAGACCTTTAGCTATTAAGTGATATAGAAGTTAAATAAATAAAGTCAGAGTACATGATATGAAAATGTTAATACTTTTTACCTATACTAAATGACTGTATTTTCAGTCTTGTTTTCAAATAACTTACCCTATATAGGCCACGTATACCTTCATACTTGTATATTTTTGTGAGGGCATCAAGCATCCCTTTGTACTGCCTCTTTGAATGATCAATGCCAGCTTCATATTGTAACACAAGCCGAGTCTTGGTAACCCAGATAGGGTTTGTTATACACAGAGTCATCACTCCTGTCATTAGACAGAAATTTGATCATTGTCAATGCCAGAACTTCAGAATTATCCAAAGGACATCTCAACATCTCTTCCAAACAATTTGAATCATTCTAATTTCAGCTAAATCTCACTACAGTGCTTAATAGAATGGGTAAATTTTTCTTATCTTTCTGCCCTTGAGAAGAACTGCAGATACAAAGTAAATTCTTATAAAGAAAATGGGAGGAGGACTAGGTAGAATGTGGTATATTTACACAGAGCGCCCTCTGCTTTTGGGTTCTCTGAGTTGGATCCAGGATCTGCCTTCCATTCACAGAAAGTACTTTGCCCAATTTTCAGGGATTCCTCTTCACCACGCCTCACCACATCCAGCAGGATCCTCTGATCCTCTGTGTAGCATCTATAGGAGGCTGGAGAAGATGCAATGGGGAGGAAGGGGTTAGCCCAGTTGTACATAACCTCTGGATACGATTCCAGTTGGATATTCAAAATAATTTAGTTAACATTTTTATCTGACAAAATAAATACTGCAAGTGTTTCAAACTGCAGAATACTCATTATCTATAGTAAAGTGGGAAACATTTATCAAAGAGAAAACTTTAGCTAAATTATTGCAGCATACTTATGCAGCATAAATTCCACTAAATACAGCAAAACTTATTTTTGTGTAAACATGCACATAATTGCACTTTAAGGAACAGAATATATTTTTGGGAAGGTTTTTTTTTAAAACTGAAGCTGTATTTAAACCAGAAACATGGCACTGCCCAAACAAGTGATCCTATTGAGAGTGCAGATGCTTAGCAAGTTAAGTATTTGATCAGAAAGGTCTTCCACTCATTTTTAGATGAATAAACAGATAAGCTGAACTAAACATAAGCATTTGGAACTGGAGGCAGCAGTAACATAATTGTTAGAATTACACATTAATTCTGCTTCTATTTTCCTTACCAGCCTCAGCTGCTGAAACAAGGTGTTCAGCTGCTCCAAGACGTTCTAGCTTATCTTCCGTCTTGTAAGCTTTAATGGCATTATAACTGAAGAGTGAATTATTGAATAAGGTTAACAAATCCAGGATAGTTTTCTTTACAAATTTGAAAATATATTCCATATATGAACAACCACAAATTATATAAGCATATGAACTATGTAAACCAAAGAACCACTCCTGGTATGCTCAAGTACTTGTGAACAACTAAAAGGATCCCCCTCCTCTTGCACACACACATTTGGCTTTGAACAACAAGCCCTGGATCATATCACAAAATGCTCTGAAAACTTTCCTGAGTTTCAAAGGAAGCTAGGAATGCTTACTGGAGGTAACAGCAACAGTAGTCCAACACCTTCAAAGGGCACAAGGCTGGGGAAGGCCATAGTATGTGTGGTGGGGTATGGCCTCTATGCATACATGGAAGCAGGAGGACCCTGACCTTAATATTTATATGCACACATTTATTTATTTGTTACCCTTGCATGCTGCACTATGTAGCGACAAGGCTTCCTGGTCAAGTTACATTACATTGGGTATCAACAATAAATCGATATAAACAACACATCAATAAAAATAGAACAAAATTTTTAAAAATCAACTTTCATATAATAATAAAACCTCTTAAAACAATCAATTTGAAACAATCCTGTGAATAAAACATCTGGCAGCTAAAAATTCTTTTAACATGTAAAACCAATATGATAACCATAATAAAACCAGTTCAACTTATTCACCAAAATTAATTATAGAAAATAAATGTTTTCAACTGGCATCTAACTGGAGAAAGAGAAGACGTCAGGCGGATCCCAATCAGAAGAGGGTTCCATAGATGGATTGCTATTACAGAAAAGGCCATTCTCTCAGCCATCTCCCCACTTATCTCACTGTGGGAGGGATTTGGACCTGCCTCTGATGAAGACCTCAGTGACTGGGTCGGGACATATGGAAATAGGCATTCCCTCAGATATCCTAGCCCCAAGCTGTTTAGGGCTTTGTATATGTTATTGTAAGCCCTTTGAATTGGGCCAAGATGGCAATTGGCAGCCAATGAAGCCTGCAAAGGACTGACATGATGTGCTTGCAAAAGTCTGTCAGCAGGCACACCATCCAATTTTGGACTAACTGCAATGTCTGGACCATCTTGAAAGACAGCCCTATGTAGAGTGCATTACAGTAATCCAGGCATGAGGTTACCAGTGCACTGATAACTGCAGCAAGGCTCTGCTCATCCAAGTAGAGACACAGCTGATGAACCAGCCTAAACTGGTAGAAAGTATTCCAGGGTACCAAATCCACCTGAGAAACAAGTGACAACTTGTTCCTTTAGATAGCCAGGTCCCAAGCTGTTGAGGGCTTTATAGGTCATAACCAACACCTTGAATTGGGCCCGGACTTCAATGGGAAGCCAGTGAAGCTGGCAGAGAACTGGAGTCATGTGAACATAACACCCAGTCCCCGTCAGCAGCCTGGCAGCTCTATTCTGCACCAACTGAAGTATCCAGACCGTCTTCAAAGGCAGCCCCATGTAGAGCGCGTTACAGAAGTCTAATCGGGAAGTTACCAATGCTTGTGTCACTGTCACCAGGCAGTCATTCTCCAGGAAGGGAGACCATTATTGTGGTCTAAGTACTTTATTACACAGATCTTTTATATATTTCAATAACCTTGTGACCTTTAGGTGTTACTATAATAAGCTTTAGTCCTTGGATGGTGAACAGTAATCCAGAGCAAGGTCTGGTGATTAGTGGAAGTCAAACAAGTAAAAGCTGTTGACAATTAGTTGATTAGCTCAATGCAATCTTTAGACTTTACCTTGGGCTTGGCAAAGTTAATGGCACACGCCCAGCTTCTTTCATCATTAACTCCAGGATTAAGGCAGATACAAAAGAGCTCTCCACTACTTTATTACATTAAGTAACAGTTAAGTAGCAACCACACTGGCATTGCCCACTCCTCTGAACAGCATCCTCTGGGTAAGGGATCCTTTAAAGATAAACTATGGTATTTCAAAATACTTTATGCTCTGTATTGAAAGTCATAAGAAACTGATTGCATAAAGTTAGTGATCCCACATTCCTTCAAGCCAAATCCTGAATTTTACTTAAAGGAGTGTCTCTGTCTTCACTGTTTGTTTTACTTCTGATCAGCCTAGAAAAACATGTAATTGGCCAGATTAGCTCCATCTTCCAAAGATAGAAAAATAAATCTATAGCCAGTCATGCTCAATAAAATATTATAATAAGATGGATAAACGTGTTTGAATTATATGAAATACTTTAAGTTTGGCTGTATTATCATAGACCATAGTAAATAATAACAGGTTTAGACAGCTATTTATATTTAACTGGCAGTTTTAAGATGACAAGTGTCGTTATCCACTTGCAGGACATATAAACATTTGAATTAAAAAAAGAGATAGTTTACACAGGGTGACATTCTGAATAGAATACAGGACACATTTAAATAGTTTGAACTTACAAGAAGAAGTAGAGACCCCAGGAGACACCTGCTCCCCATACATTTGGAGTCACCCCTTGGTACAGGCCACGTAATCCTTCCTGTTTCCAGACAGTTGTCAGACAGTGCAGAATACCATTGTATTTTGGTCTCAGCTCCAAGCCATCATTCACTATACAAAACAACTGGAGATTAGTCTGAAGAAAGCACCTTTTAAAATGAGTCAATGAAGAACTTATACAAAAATCTAACACTGTAATGTTTCCAGATGAGGACTGTACATATTTATCCATACTATACAGCTTATGAAAATCTTATAGTATAACAAGACAAAGATTCTTTTGTAATTAAGGAGACCGAGAGTCCAGCTAGATATATGAGTAACCCATGGGTCCACTGGATTGTCTAACGTACAACAAGGAAGTATTTGCACAAAGGCTACATGTAAAAACAAACCAGCATAATGCTTTCCAAATAATATAAGTAGGAGTACTGCTTGTTACACATCTTTGAAAGCTCATGTTTATTCTTCATCCTTTGTTTTCAGGTAATATAGTCATTGTCCCTTTCTCTACTATGAAGTGTGTCAGTGGCTAGGTATAGAAATAGATATGAGAAGTGATTGAGAACCTTCACAGACCAAATTTGATCCACATGGAGGAGGTTCCCCATCACTGTTGTACTTAGCTAGAAATTAACATGTTTTGGTGATCAGATTTGTATCACTGCTTAAGAAAGGTGAAGAGCTATCAGTGAGAAGCTTAATTTAAATCAAAGTTTTAAATCATATTTCTCTTGCTGATATAAATCATCTTGATTTAAATCAATCCATCCAAGAGTGCCTAATCTTCCTCTTTTTCACCAACATTGGCACCCTTCCTAGTCGCAGCAATAAAGTCATTCAGGAGGAAAAAAACCTTACAGATGTGTTGCATTGTTACAGGAAATGAAGAAAGAACTAAAGTAGACAAACCTAATTTATGATAAAGAACACAAAAGGACCACTGCTCAATAGAAAAGCATATGATGTACATGTAGAAGAGTCAGTGAAATCCTTTGCCTCTAAATTTTTAAAAATAATAATCTTTAAAAACACAACACAATTGCCTTTTTGATGACTACTGGCTCAATAGCTCAATAAATGCAGTTTCATATGTTCAAGAGTAAGAAAGAAACATCTTTTTGGGCATGTGTGGGGAGTTGCGTGGCAGGTGACCTGCCATATCCAAAGCCCTGCTCTCTGTAAACAGAACAGATTCTGAAAACAGTAACGCTCTCTCCAGCAGTTATTTCCTTAACATTTTTATTCCCAAACCAAGAAGAGAAACTTACTAGACTAGCATCAGAGGATTGAGGGGGCTCTTAATCTGGCAGATATGAAGGTCAACCCTACCCCAGCTCTGGAACATCTTATTTAGTCTCCTTCCTGTTGCACATGAAATGATCAAGATCACTTGTTTCTGGAATGGAGCAGGTCAGTGGAGCTTGCATAAAGCAACACTTTGCCAAGCTGCCCAGTCCAGAATAAGTGTTCTCTAAGTGCTAGATTTCAACTGAGTTACATGGTGAGTTCCACTTGTGCAACAGAATTAAGAGGACTCACTGCTTGCTGAAGGGGCATGGTGGAGGTATAAGTGCTTCAATGGATACTGTCCTTAAAGTGTGGTTAATACTATATGTTCCAAAAAAGCATTCCAGCAGAAGAAACCTTCTTCCAGTGACAATATTTTATTTTCAGCAATGATGGTGTAAATCCATCTCCACTGGACCTTACAGTGATTAGGGTACTTCTCATCAACTCAGTAGGCTTATTTCTAAGTAGAAATACTTAAACAATTGCACAGTCAACATATGAAAATGACATCATGATCCATTTTCTGATATCTTCAGACAAGCACTTAACAACAGACCCCAATGTGAACAAAATACCTAGAAATTCCAAGAAAGAGTTGTGTTATTCTGACACAGTAAAAGAACAGCTATATGTTTACAATTCCCAAAAGCTTAGCCCAGAATAATCCTGTTAGTGTTTAACATGCCAGAAAACTCTTTGTTGCCTAGAATGTGGCCTCTGCAACTGTGTCAGCTCACATGCAGTAAACTCTACATCATGGCACCTAACTCATTAAAAGTCAGGCTTGCCAAGAACACACTGAGCAAAACATTCTACAGTGCATGCTCAACTGTAGGTTGCTGCATATCTGCTTGTCTGAATCATGAAGCTGGGCCATATGTAGTTAGGCACATCAAAGTGGTACCTGTTTGCCAGTTCCTTCTTCAACACAGAGCTGCCTGATTGACAATTGCATACCACTACATTGTGAAATAATATGGGAGACCACGAATCATACACACACCATCACATGACTGCTCCCTATGGCCTACGAAACACTTGACCATCATCCCTACCCCAAAGCTTCATGTATGAACAAGTCACTCCCAAGGCTAGAATGAATTTCTGATCCATCACTCCAAAGGTCCTTCAAATCAGTGCACTCACCAACACAGAAGCCTCCACAGGTCAGGCTACTACAAAATGACTAGGAGCATTTTTTATTCTACACCAGTGTAATTTAGCAGTTACGGTTAGGCTAGGAGCTCAGAAGCCAGGTTCAAATCCTTATTCAGCACAAGAAACCTATAGACTGACCTTGGGCCATCACTACCCTCCTCGCTTAACTTACCTAACTGGGTTGATGTGAGGATAATATGAAGTGGGGCCAGGGGACACAGCCCTTAACTTCTTGGAAGAAAGGCAAAGTGTGACTATAACCAATATAAACAAGGCTGTGGAGTAAGGGTCACCTTTCCCTCAAGAAGCCAGTCGACCACGGGGAACACGGGCGAGGCGGACACGCGCGCGTTGCTAACGGGCGACCGCGGGGGCGGCCGATGTCGTGATCGCCTGGCGCGGAGCGGTGTGCGCGGGGGGAGGCGGGGGTCATCTCACCTGCGAAGCGGATCTTCACCAGGTCGAGCGGGTGCAGCACCAGCGTGGAGATAACGCCGCCGCTCAGCCCGGCCACCAGGTTCTCGTAGTGCACATGCCTGAACAAGGGCCGCGCTGGCGTGGCCGAAGGGGTGCTCGTAATGGCACTAGAAGCAGCCGACCCCGCCAGGGTACATGCCGGCCTCTGGGCGCCCGGGACGGCGGGATTCATGGAACGGAGAAGCGCAGAAAGACGCAGCACGGCTCTGCCTTTTACTGGCCCTCGGCAGGCACCGTAGCCAGTCACGTGGAGAACAGGCGAGATATTAGAATTCCCTTGACGGCCAAAGTACTTCTCCCCTCCCATAGACAGCAGTGCCTTCCATAGGCAGCACCGGTCTGTCGCTCCCACATGGCGTTTCCAATCACATTGAGGCTTACGCCCGAGAAGGCGGGGCTAGTGTCCCAGTACGTTCGCGTGACGTGGAATTGCCGGCTCTGTTTCTCCGCCCCTTGCTTTCTACTGTGGTCGGGAGCCGACGAACGCACCCAAGATTCTTTTTTGACCCGGAAGTTATTTCCCGGGTTTGGTTTTTGTGTGTCCATGTGGTTCACCGGAGAGCGTCGCTGAGCTTCAGTCACCGAGGATGAAGGTGAAGGTGTTGAGCCGGAACCCGGACGATTACGTGCGCGAGACCAAGCACGACCTTCAACGGGGTGAGCACAGAAACAGGCTTTCCGTTAGGCCGGCCTTCCCCAACCTGTTGCTCTCCGGATGTATTGGGCTACGACTCTCACGATCCCCAAACAGCACCACGTTGAGGAAGGCTGTATTACGTAGAAAAGAGGGGCTGGGTGTTTGAAGGGAGCTGTCTGAAAAGAGGGTTTCTTTAGTGGATAGTCAGAAAAGGTTTTCATCTTAAAAGTGGCCCAATATAAATCAGTGGTGTGACCCCATATAGAATAAGGGTGTTGTAAAGCTTGAAAAAGGAGCAGCCATAATGATCCAGGGACTGGAACAATTTTTCTGCGGGGAAGACATCTTAGACTGTTTAACTTAAAAGAAAGGCTAATAAGGGAATACTTAATAGAGGTGCAGGAAAGTATTTATGGTGTGGAGAAAGTTGATTGGGTGACTTCCCATCCCCTCATAATGTTAGGATCTAGGATCATCTCATGAAGTTGCTGCTCAGGAGAAAGAAGTGGAAGTACTTTTTTCACACAATGCATAAACTGAATTTACTGTCACAAGAAGTGATGACCACTAATTTGGATGGCTTTAAAAGGAGGATCAGGCTATTGATAGCTGCTATTCCTGATGGCTGTACATAACCTGTGATATAAGAGGCAGTATGCTGGAGAACATAAGAGGCTGGTTATCTACTTACTCTTTCCCTCTTCTTAAAATCTTCGTTTGCAACACAGGATAATAACCGTGCACACACAGGTATGAAGAGGGGAGGTCAGAATTCATAACATGAACCTATCAATATACAGTAATCACCTTGATATTGGAAAAAGGTTCAAGGGGAAAGCATTAATATTTTTTCAAATGCATACATTAATATAAGCAGTCCATTTATCTAAACAAGCACTGATATAACTTTGATGTTTATAGAAGATACATTCCAACATAGCAAGAGCACTAATCTCTTCAGTTGATCAAGTGATATATGGTGGAGTGTTTTTACTTCCAAACTTGGAGTACAGTCTATTTTCAGTTGCAGAAGCTTGAAGTATCCATTTTTTCTGTCCATCTGTTAGTTCCCACATCACAGGGATGTGATTTAAAAGTAAATGTACATTTTTTGTTTGTTTGTTTATAAAATTTGTATGCCGTCCATTATTTGCTTCTCTGGACGGCTTACAACATAAGCTGTCCAGATTATCACAGATTTTTCAAGAAGAAAACTTCTACAAGCAGTGAGACATTGCCAGCACCTAACAGGGCTGGCCATCTGCTGCTTAGCATGAAACATTTTTTCAACTTCAGATTTACATTTGTTGCACTCATGTTCTGCTTCTGTGTTCCCCAAAAGGAACTGGATAGACACTGTATGGACAGAGTGCTGGATTAGATGTAACCCTGGTCTGACCTAGCATGGATCTTCCAATGTTCTTAGGCTGTTCTTGTATTGCTATGGTGGTTTCAAAAATGTGAATGTGTCTCTTGAGCTGTGACACTTTTGCATTCAGTTGGAGCCAAAAAGAAAAAAATGCATTGTCTCCCCACAGTGCCTTAAGCATCTCTGCTGTCTTTTGCCCCTCTCACCAGTCTCTGCTTGTTTCTTCACATTCCCATGCACATAGAAAATAAGCTAAACAAGTGGGAAAAAATTTCTAGGTTCCCTGAACTATGCTAATATTTTCCACAAAGGAAATAGTCTTGTTAGTTGGTTACATTTAAAAACAACAAATAGTCTTGGCTGTGACATGTTAAAGACTGGCCAATTTATTCTGGCATACTTTTTTGTGGACTAAAACCAATTTCATCAAATGCACTGGTTGTTATGGAGAGCTTCAGCTTTACATGTAGTATATATAGTGGGAGGGAAAAAATTGTAAACAGTGGGGTGAGACATAAAATGGGGAAAGCAACAATTCCATTATTAGCAGCAATCATTCATGGTGCAATCTTTGAAAACACAAGCCTCCCTGTACTTTGTAAGTCAGTTTAGACACCTAGTCAAGATAAGCCTTCCTTCCCTTTTCTTTCTTACAAGGGCGATGCCTGGGCACTTTCTCATTCAGGGTGAGAGAGCTTTCTACTGAATGAATGAGCAGTGTGCTTAGTTGCTATTTTAGGCTGAGAGCTGCAGTGACTTGTGACCAATTTTTAGCCTTCCTTGGGCTGGCACCCTCCAGATGTTTTGCATTTCAGCTTCCATCAATCCTGGGTAGCCTAGTGATTGGTCAGAAGTTGCTGTCTAAACGATGAGGAGAATGCCAGGTCAGGAAGGTTGGTTCTATTATCAGTTTTAGTGTGTAAATCCTGTTCTAGTGACCATAATATAAATTAGGAGTTAATGGAAGTAGCGAATAGGAATGTGGATTTAAATTTGATTTTATTAAACATAGAAGCACTGAGATTTTTTCCCTGTTCTCCTTTCCTGCAGCTCATGCTATCTTGCAGTTAGAGTGTCAATGGCGTATAGGTACTGTTGTAATTCTGTGTGCCATTTTGGTTGTAAGATCTGTAGTTGGTGCAGTTTGGGACTCATGCAGCACAGTTCTTCTGAGATGAGATACATTTTGAATATTGTGCAGGGCAAACTCAGGCTTATCATCAACTGTATGCTCAGTAGTGGTTTGCAACCATTCCTGTCTTGCTGACCTATGCATATGGATGATGCACACATTTGTAGATGCATGTTTCTTGCATTTTAAATATGCAGCTTATCAAATAATGGGTATTGGGATACCTGCTATATTTGGCAAGCTGTCTACAGATTAGGGTCATCTGAGAATCATACACTAATCACTGACAATAAGAAAATGCTTTTTTCATGAGAAAATGAAAACTTCTTCACCAAAGGGTTTCCTAAAGCACAATAATCTTATAATTATTGTTGTTCAGGTTTTTCTTTCTTTTTTCTCTTTTCCCTTACTGTAATGTAATTAGGTTTATTGTTGTATTAGGAGTACAATCATAATAATATTCCAAAGGTATAGTGTGCTCAGTTGCTTTTGACTTCTTGCCTTTGATTTCTTGCCTATTCAGTCAGATGGTTAAGCTTGAATTGAGGGATTTTCAAGACTTGACTCTATAGCTGATGTCATTGGCAACATCCCTGTGCATGGCACTTTTTACATAAAGTACAGGAGCACAAGTCCTTCTCCCAAGGAGAAGCAACTGTTTTTGGAACAAAAATCATTGGGGGCAGTTTATGATCAAGCTCTCAAGGAAGTCTGCTTAAACAGGGTGCTGGCAAGTTATGTCTGCTTTTCAAATGTAAAGCTGATCCTAGCAATGAATTACATTTTTGTTTCTGGGCTATTAGTAGCAAATGATGTATTTGCAGACAGCATAAAAAGAAAAAGAAAAATTTATAGCTATCATTTCTATCATACTCATTTAATTGTTTGTTTTACAGTTCCAAGGAATTATGATCCTGCATTACATCCTTTTGAACTTCCACGGGAATATACACGGGCTCTGAATGCAACAAAACTAGAACGAATATTTGCAAAGCCCTTTGTTGCATCGTTGGATGGTCATAGAGATGGCATCAACTGCATGGCTAAGCATCCACACAGCTTGTCGACACTTTTGTCTGGTGCATGTGATGGAGAAGTAAGTGGATTTAAGAATGTATGTTCTTAAAGTTAAGTTTAAAGTTAGTGGAAAGGATCGTGTTATTTTTTTTTGTGTAGTTGTTGCTTTGTTTTCAGTTATGTAAGAACAAGTGTAAAGTATTTTGGTCATGTGTGTGCTTGTAACTAATGCATAAGGGTGCATTTAAGAAGCACTTGGCTCCTGTGCCCTGGAATAAAGGTAAATTAAATGGGAACATGTGGTCTTGACTTAGGGCTGCCACAAATGTTACAGTTATTTTGGGCATAGAAGCTGCCTAGGGCTGCAGTCTGTATGTTGGAAGTAAACCCTGTTGAACTCCAGAAGAATTTGCCCTCTGGGTAAGCATGTAGAATATTACACTGTAACAGTCTATGACAAATGATTAATTGTGCATTGGACCATGTGAAAATTGGGCCTTACGCTTTTCTTTGGAAGGACAGTCCACTTCACCTGAAACTCTAGGAGTTAAAACTGTTCAAAAGCCAAATCATAAAATCAACTCTAGCCACCAAAACCTGTGTTAGTTTTATGTGCCTGGTTCCCATTCAGCTCCCGGAATGGGACTGCATAGTATGTTTTGATAGATGCAGTAGTGAAAACCATAAAAACTGATAGAAATATCCACATCTTTAAAATAAAAAAATACTTAAATGTGAAATTCTAGATTTCACATGGGTGTCAACTGTTTTGTTACAGTGCTCACCCCTAAACAAATAAATATGCCTTTGTTGTTGTTTTTTAACAGGTTAGAATTTGGAACTTGATGAAGCGTGAATGCATCCGTACATTGCAGGCACATGAGGGCTTTGTGAGAGGAATGTGTACTCGGTTTTGCGGTATATCTTTTTTCACTGTAAGTGTAATAGAGAAAATTGGTAGATGTTTGAATGCTTGTTGAACTTAGTTTCTTCCTTTATCTTATTCCGTACTGCATTTTCTTTTCTTAATAACAAAATAAAGTACTTTTATTTTAGGGCTCTCATTACTTAAGTTTATTTGTAGACATGGAAGTGTAAAGTGATGGATGTTGGGGCAAAGATCTCAACTTCACATGTAGACTGATAAGAATGAAGCCATGGAGGATCGGGCCAAAGATCCATCTAGTCCAGTATTCTGTTCATACAGTGGCCAGTCAGCTGCCCATGGGAATCCACCAGGAGAGCATGAGTGTAACAGCACAACCCCAGTTGGCATACATGGGCATGCTAGGCATATCAGTGGCTACTAGTTCTGATGGCTAATGCCACCTCCAGTATCAGAGGGAGTATACCTATGTACACCAGTTACTGGGGAACATGGGCAGGAGGGTGGTTCCTTTATTATTACACTGGTATCCCATCCTTTTCCCTCTTGTAAGTGACCCTAGGTGGCTTACATGGTCATCCTCCTTGCCATTCTTATCCTCACACCACCCTGATGAGTTAGACCAAGTTAAGAATCAATGGCTGTCCCAAAGTCACCCAGGGAGCTTCGTGGCATGAATAGGGACTAGAGCCTGGATCTCCCATGTCCTAGTCAGAGGCCCTTCTCCTGGAAGGAGATTAGGATGGTGGTTACCCAAAGAAGGGCCTTTTCTGCGATGGCGCCCCGACTGTGGAATACGCTTCCCAGAGAGGTTCACCTGGCGCCATCACTTTAGTCTTTTTGGTGCCAGGCTAAAACTTTTTTTATTTTTCCAATATTTTAAGGTTTGTCTGTTATTTTAATATGGGGTTCATTGTCAGAAATTGATTAGTATGCTCTGATTTATTTTATTTTTTTGTCTTATTGTTAAACCGTCCTGAGACTTTAGTAAGGGATAATCTAAAAAAGTTTTAAATAAATAAATGAATAGTCCAGCTCTCTAGCACCACACTGGCTCTCTGAGGCATGAAGCAGTCTTTCAAGCAACACATGCTATTGCAGGTGTCTGTTCTCTTTTTTGTGGCTCCAAACAGGCATAGAAGAACTTGAATTGATGTGTTCTTTGTTTGAAGAAGACTATAGCTGACTGAATGGTAGAGATCAATGTAGCTCAAGATTGAATGTAAAATCCACTAACACGCAGAACTGTCTCTCCCTCTCCTCACACCTGCATTTCTTTGTACTGCTTGAAAATCTGTACCGTGGTGTTTCCTAGTCCTCTAAAACAGATGTTGGTGGCCCATGGGGAGGCAGCAGAGGGAATCGGAAACCTCCCTCTGCCCCAGTTCTGCTGATGGAACTGCTTCTGTCAGCAAAATGACACCACTGGAGGCAGCCATCAGAAATAAAATGTGTGCCCAGTTATTTGGTTCATTATTTTGTTTCCTAGCAAATAGTTCAATAAATTATGTGACTCATGACCCTGCATTTAAGTCTTCAGCTTAAATAAATCTGTATTTGGTAGGACCATGTGTCTGTTGATGACTATTGTGAAATGAATCAAAATAATCTAATATGGCATTGTTTGGAAATGTTGAAGTATTGTTTTGCAGCCTGCTTCAATCTGTGTTTACAGAGATGAAAGTCCCATTGAGTATTTCGATGCTTGCAAGCATGCGTAAAATTTCAGCCTTAGAACAGCATTCAGCTTTGTGGCATTCATATAGCTGATTATTCTGATTCATGCATATGTTTCTGTGTGCACTGTGCTGCTTACAGATGTGCAGTTGTTGTTCCATGCTGTCAAGCCATCTCCAACTTATGGTGACCTTGTGAATGAATGCCCTTCAAGGTGTCCTGTTCTTGACTGCCCTGTTCCGCTCTTGTAAAGTCAAGACTGTGGCTTTCTTCTGGACTCGAGTCACCTCGTATTTGGTCGTCTTCTGCTTCTTTTGTCTTTGACTTTCCCTAACATTCCCTAGTGAGGCCTGCCTTCTCATGATGAGCCCAAAGTGTGTCAGCTTCAGTCTCATCATTTTTGTTTCCATGGAAAGTTCTGACTTGAATTGACCCAGGACCCACATGTTCATTTTTCTATCAGTCCAGGGTATTTGCAAAGCTCTCTTCCAAAGTCATGTTTTGAATAAATCAATTTTCTTCAGGACAACTTTCTTCACTATTGCAAATGTGCTGTAGCTTCCATAAAAGTTTTTAAATGTTTTAGGGAGACATAAAAGTGGAAAATAACTGTTTTTCCAGGATGGAATCACTGAGTGCACAGCACAACTGGCAACTCATTGACGTGAAGTAAGACTCCTTGATTTCAGTGGGACTTCCATGTGTTTGAGAGGTAGTTTTAAGAGTGCAGTTGTATGTAGGCTTACTTGGTGTTCCCATTTAAATACCAAAGAATGGAGATTAATTTTTCATTGCTTTCTCCAAAATCATTAGGTTGGTGATGATAAAACAGTGAAGCACTGGAAACTGGATGGGCCAGCTTATGGGGAAGCAGAAGAACCAATAAATACAATTCTTGGAAAGGTATTACTTTCTTATCTTGCTTTCCATTATACATTCATATGCAGGCTTTGTTTTAATTGAATATAACCTGGAGCAAACTGATACTGGATTAAGGAATGTCACTGAATCCTTTTATCAGACAGTATTCACATGACTATTCTACTACCATTCTTAGTTTGTGATAATTGTCCTGTCACATCTCTTGTCCATTTGTTTCTTGCTAAGGTAAACTATGGGATCCAGATGTATATATTTGAGCTGGTGAGTCTGATATCAAGACTACCAAAAAAGGGGGCAGCATCCTAGTAGCTCTAGCAGGATGGGAAGCTGGCAGGTTTCAATACAATCCAGACACAATTTTCTGGAACAGGGAAGATCAGTGCGGTAGTTCCACTGATCGGTCCTTTTCTGGACATTCTGTCTTATTTTTAGGGTTATTGCAGGAACTGCAAGCTTCCTTTTATGTAGTGATTCCTGTGGATGCAAGAGAAAATGCAGAGGCTCAGCAGTAGTATTGGACACTGCCCGTGGTGGTCTTGAGGTACTCCTGGTAGTGTATACAGATTGATAACTGCAATTTGAACATCCTTATTTATGTTTTTGGCATGTTTATACTGTGCTTACTAATAAAATTCTTGAAGTAACTTACAGTAAATTTGAAGTAATAAAAAGCAATTGGGATGCTAAGGATCCCTCATGGAGTGGGATTTACTCAATCAATGGTGAACTGTGTTCTTCAAATGAATATGTTATTCCTTTTTCTAACACTCTCTGGCCTTTGGCAGCATATGTAAGAGTTGCTAGGGAGACAAGGTTGCCTACAGGCCTCTTCTTGTTCTTGGGTGGTCCACATGCCACTCTGCTGCTGAATTTCTGAGCCACAATAGGTTTCTGGAGCAATAATTCTTGCACAACAATCACTGCTGCAAGAGCCAGAGTGAGGCATCCTCACCTAGACTGCTTTTGATGTCCTTCATGGCTCCCTGTCTTGACAGTAACACAAAACCCCATTGATATCAAATCAGTAATTGGTGCTGTTTTGTTAATTTATATTTTAAAGACAGTGTATACTGGAATTGATCACCATTGGAAGGAACCTGTTTTTGCTACTTGTGGTCATCAAGTTGATATCTGGGATGAACAGAGAACCAGTCCTTTATGCTCTTTGACTTGGGGAGTTGATAGTGTAAGCAGTGTTAAATTCAATCCAATTGAGGTAATTTGTTTATTTATTCTACTATAATGTCTGTGTTTCTTTTTGAAATAGCAATGCCGTAGTGATCATGTGAAATACAGGCATAGATGTGGATGCTGCTAGAGGACTTGGAAGCTAACTTGAATATATAAGAGAATGGTGAAGTGAGATCAGAAGGTTTTTTAATGACTGTAGAAACCATAGCAAAGGACAGGCTGTGGAAGGCCTGGGCAGTTTTGAGGATTGATTTTGGGAGAGGAGAAACAGCTGGATGGGTAGCAGTGGAACAGGGATGAGGGAGATGTTCACAAAACAGAACAGTAGTGGGATGACACGTACAACTAAGAGGCTGGGCCAGAGCTTTCCCTTTCCTTATATATTCATTCTATTCAGCTTCAGGTGTCTGAACAGGGCTGTGATGAAAGTGGGTACTAAAAGAAGAAAACCACAGGAGACTGTTGGCAGATGAATGTAGAGCAGAAGCAGTAAAAAGACAATGTAGTCTAAGGTGAAAAGTAGGATTTTTTTTTTTTGAAAAGCCTACATTTTCAGAAATTTTCTTTAGTGACATATATTATTAAGTCTAACAGGAGATCCCCTTTCCCTGTTATTACCCCATCTGTACTGATACTATTTTTAGATTCTCATAGGTTTTAAAGGCAGGAGAGCTGGGAAAATTCTTAAATTTTGTCCTCTCCATTGTCTTTTTTTTAAAGCAACAGGACCTGATAATGCTGCATATACACACTTCTAGAAAATACTGTTAGAAACATATGAATGCTGGCTAAAACAGCTCTTGAACATATTGTGCCTGTTCTCTGCACCTGTGACTTTTGTTTAAGTATTCTAAATGGTATTTACAAAACAGTTGACTGTACAACCAATTTTCAGATGTACCTTTTGGGAAGCTGTGCTTCGGACAGGAATATTGTGCTATATGACATGAGACAGTCAACTGCGCTGAAGAAGGTACTGTATGTTTTGTACAAATTCATGTGTAGTGTGTATATGTACATGTGTGAACCATGTACACACTTTTTAACCTTGTGAGGGAAGTTGTCCGTTAAGTTCTGCTTTTGTATTTGCTACAATTGTATTTTTGTATTTGCTATAGTACTACCAGAAGTACAGGCAGGATTTCAAAGAGGGAGAGGAACTAGAAATCAAATTGCCAACATATGCTGGATCATGGAGAAAGCTAGGGAGTTCCAGAAAAACATCTACCTCTGCTTCATTGACTAAGCTAAAGCCTTTGATTGTGCGGATCACAACAAATTGTGGCAAGTTCTTAAAGAGATGGGAGTACCTGACCATCTTATTTGTCTCTTGAGAAACCTATATGCGGGTCAAGAAGCAACAGTGGGAACTGGACACGGAACCACTGATTGGTTCAAAATTGAGAAAGGAGTTCGGCAAGGCTGTATACTGTCGCTCTGCCTATTTAACTTATATGCAGAGCACATCATGAGAAAGGCGGGGCTAGATGAATAACCAGTTGTAATTAAGATTGCTGGCAGAAATATCAACAATATCAGATACGCAGATTATACCACTCTCATGGCAGAAAGTGAAGAGGAACTAAAGAGCCTCTTGATGCGGGTGAAGGAGAAGAGCACAAAAGTTGGCTTGAAACTCAACATTAAGAAAACTAAGGTCATGGCATCCGGTCCTCTCACTTCCAAGCAAATAGATGGGGAAGAAATGGAGATAGTGACAGATTTTATTTTCCTGGGCTCCAAGATCACCGCAGATGGGGACTGCAGCCAAGAAATTAAAAGACGCTTGCTCCTGGGGAGGAAGGCTATGGCAAATCTAGATAGCATACTAAAAAGCAGAGACATCACCCTGCCAACAAAAGTGCGTATAGTCAAGGCTGTGGTTTTCCCAGTTGCAATGTATGGCTGTGAAAGCTGGACCATAAAGAAGGCTGAGGGCCGAAGGATTTAGGCCTTTGAATTGTGGTGCTGGAGGAGACTCCTGCAAGTCCCTTGGACTGCAAGGTGATCAAACCGGTCAGTCCTAGAGGAGATCAACCCTGACTGCTCTTTAGAAGGCCAGATCCTGAAGATGAAACTCAAATACTTTGGCCACTTAATGAGAAGGAAAGACTCTCCGGAGAAGAGCCTAATGCTGGGAACAATAGATGGCAAAAGAAGAAGGGGACAGCAGAGGATGAGGAGGCTAGATGGAGTCACTGAAGCAGTTGGTGTGAGCTTGAGTGGACTCCAGGGGATGGTGGAGGACAGGAAGGCCTGGAGGAATGTCCATGGGGTTGCGATGGGTCGGACACGACTTCGCAACTAACAACAACAAGTACTAATAAATAAAATAAGTAGTGGCACATGCTTAGACTCTTTTAATTTAGAAATACATGGGACATATATAATGTAAAAAATGTATTTTAGATCAGTGTGGGCATATTTTAGGAGTCTTGGGGCCATTTCCCCCCTCTTGGCCTGAAGGAGATGATTTTGAAGGAAAAAGTAGGTGATTTCAGTGGTAAACTGTGGTTTGTTGCACTGAAAATAAGGGGAAAATTTCCCCTTTTTACTGCTACAGTGCCAAATTTTGTTGGCAAATTTGGTAGTGGCCATGTGATGACCACCCCTGCTAATGGACATGCAAGAAGAAACCATGGACACTGACTTGTACAGTTTTTTAACACTTTTCTCCTTTATAATTTATGTCTTGTATAGACATTGTGCTTGTAGGCAGATTTTAAAAGCTATGTGAAATGCATGTTTTTCCTTTTTCCCAAAATATTCATTATTTTTAATAGGTACAGCTTGAGTTCCATATAAAAATTGCCTGTCTATTAGAATCACTTACATTATGTAACAAAAATTCTGTTTCTCTAATTCAGTAGCATGACTGCAATTGTTTGACAAATAGTAGTACAAGATTATTATGTGCAAATAATTGTCTTCAAGAATGAAAAATTAGAAGGCTCTTCAAGGTTCAGGAAAGGTGAAAGGTATTCATTGACTGAGGGTAACAGACTTACAATATCTTCCAGCTGTCACTAGTATTGCTGAAGCTCCCTTTCAGCTGGGACCATATAACATATGGACTACTTAATACTTTTCAACTAATCAGCCTTCTGCCAAGTAGGAGTCTGGCTAGAGTAAGTTGTCAGTTTTATCCCTTCAGCAAGAGGATCAGGTCAGTCTCTCTTTCTTGCCATCTGGCATTTTTCAAGCCTTGTTGCAAAATTCCTGAGCAGCAAAGAAAATTTCTGCCAGCACGTTCCAGGCCCACTTTTAAAACAAGTAATGTAATTTCAAAATATGTATCTTATATACGAGCCTACCCTAAATAACAGAGGCGGCTCCATTTCTGGAATTCTGAGCACAGTGCAGTAAAGATGCAACACTACTGATGGATATTATATAAGAATAGGTGTCACTTGATCTATTGCTTCTGGAAAAAAACAAATGTGTAATGATCAGGAAGTTGCTTTTTCAGGAAGGATTGTGATGTATATTTACGTGCAACGTTCTTCCGATTGTTGTACAGCAGCCTTCTGCAACCTAGTATATTCAAATATATTTGGAAGGCAAACCTTACCCAGATACATGTCCAGATACATGTCATAAGAAGTGTATTCTTTGAGAAGCTGTGAACAAGGATCCATTGGATAGATATGATATCCTGTCCCTCTGTTCTGAGTGTATTTTAGGTGATGGTGGTGCTGCTCTGAATTTTTGCGTTGGCACGCACCTCTACCACAGTTTTGTACTGAGTTTGGGTGCATCTTTTTACCTCTCTGGCGCTATTTTTCTGGAATAGGAAATCCTTGATCCCATTGCCAGCATGTTCTGTTCTCTTTATTGCTATTTTGTGAAAATTGCTAACACATTTGTGTAACTTTTATAAATTGTGCAATAAATGCTTGAAAACTTTATATTTTATTCTTTTTCCCAATATTAAAAATTTCTAAGGTTATCTTGGATATGCGAACAAATACACTTTGTTGGAACCCCATGGAAGCTTTTATTTTCACTGCTGCAAATGAGGACTACAAGTAAGAATCATTTTAGTCTTGTCTGCTCTCTGTTTAGATCCATTTAGGATGTTTGCATTTGTTAAGTTTTGACTAAGAAAATGATTTCATTAAAGTCACAAGAAGGCTGTTGGATTTTAAAGTTTAACTGAAATCCAAAGAGCTATTCTGTTTAGTTCAGTGAACATTTATTTAATGTATTTTACCCTGTTTTTCCTTCTTTGTGGACTCAATCATAAATTAAAATAGATATCACCATTTACAAATAAAATACTGATCCGCAAAATTGGCTCATTCAGTAGTCCATTGGTACATGTCAGATGAAATTTCTGAATACTGTTCAAAGGCAATCCTACATAGTGTGTATTATAGCAATCTAATCTGAAAGGGGCCATGGCAGGTATTGTAGTGTAATCCGACAACATTTCTAAGGTGGTTTTATTCCAGATTGCATATCCTGGCCCTCTTGGCGGCTATACAACATAGGATTTTGATTGAGAGGTGCAAGTACTAAGTCTTCTTGCCTTATGCTGTTTATCATTATGGCTATTCTTTATACAGTTCTTTGATCCTGTTATTTATTAACTGGCATATTGCTCCACATGACTAAATGTCTCACTGCATTTTTTTTCTTTTTAATGTTTGTAAACCATAAAGTGTTTCATAAAGTATGATCCTATGTTTATCAAAGCTCATGCATTTTCTCATGTATTTAATGCTACTTGAATTTCAGTGGAAATTAAGACCCTCAGGGTTTCATATATGAGACACCTTTTCTGATCAATGTGTTTTTTTTTAGTTAAACAAGGTTTTTTTTCCCTCAGTGGTCATTTGTCATGGCTCAATCCAAAATCTAGTTAAACTAAAATACCTGGATTTTAAGATGCGTTAGCTTATGATCCCCAGTCCACCCACTGAGAAGTAAGTTTCTTTGGACTGATGAGACCTAACTTGTATTTAATGTGTTAGGAACAAAGTGCCAGTTCACTGAAGTAGACTCTTAATGGCAATTGACCCCCTGAAAGTGATGAAGCTGTGTACTGGCTTGAATGCACACATGCTGCTTAAAAATGAATGACACAGCTGCTTCCCAAGATGCCAGCAAAACATGGAGGTTAGGTGTTTTTAATCAAATGAATGGTTGCAGCTCTGAGAGAACAATCCTGTGGTTCCTGGGTGAGCATTCCAGGAATCATAGGATTGCTTGTAAAACCCTTCCAAGGTCAGAGGAAGTGCTCAAGCCTTGAATGTGGAGGTTGGGGATCTTATCCAGACCCATCTTTCCTGTAGCTGGTATAGAAAGTTCTGCACTAACCGGCTTTCTTAGGTCAGAATCTCAGGAGCATCTGAGCAGCAGCAATACAGTCAATATGACTGTGCTCTTAATATGTTAACTAAGTAGGAAAAATACTAGATACTTGAAATATATTTGATTATGTCAGACTTTATCCACCTGGGGTCATGCCTTTACTACAGTACTTGAACTATCAAATATAATGGAACTGAGAGAAATGTCTTTATTCTCCTTCTCTTGTAGCTTGTATACTTTTGATATGAGGTTTCTTGACAAGCCTTTAATAGTTCACATGGATCATGTGTCTGCAGTCCTTGATGTGGATTACTCCCCTACTGGGAAAGAATTTGTGTCTGCCAGCTTTGATAAATCTATTCGTATTTTTCCTGTAGACAAAGGGCACAGCAGGTCAGTGATTTTACAATTAAGCCTCTCTTGTCACCCATCCTTCTCAGCTTCCAAGCTTAAGTGTTCTTTTTAACTTATTCAATATAGTATATCATTCTTGCTTGCATGTTTTAAATCATTAGTTAATTTTTGAATGTTTTTAATGAATTAATGAATTTTAATTTTTTTTGTTAAGTTGTCCAGTATTCACTTTTTGACTATTTCTTAATTTATATTGCATTGTACAAATGAAATTCTTCTAAAACAGTTTACTTTGTTCAGTTTATACCTTTAATATTATTGCATACTTGCTTTAGACAGAATCCAAAGAGCTACTTCAGAACACCTAAGGATTTATGTTTACCCAGTAAATTTTTGCACTTGCATGTCACCAGAACATTGGAAGTTGTATTATACAGGAACACACAACTGATGCATCTAGCCCACTACTGCTGACACTGCTTGGCAGCAGCTGCAGGTTTTGAGGCGAGTTTTTCCAGAGGAGAGGAAAAAATGTGTGTCTGACCTCAGATCTGGAAATGTGATGTCTGGGGGGCCATAGGAATGCTCCCTTCTCCAAATTGGCTTGTGTCATAGTTCCAAGAGCTCTGAAGCTACAGCTTATTTTGTTTCTAATTGAATCCTGAATGTGAAACTTGAGAAGACATGAGAAATAAGATATATGCTGTTTATTAACTTCATTAAAAGCCCTTGGCAAATGAGGTAGATGTTTGTGTGATTAAATGAGAGTCAAGTTATTCACCCATATGCTATTGTATTGCTCTAGTCTGTGAATGATTTTTAAGCCCTATTACAAGAGCAAAAGGCAGTATTGGTAAAGAGAATTTGAACAGCTAAAAGAAGGGGATAATGGCTAAATTTGTATACAATGATTTTGTTTTCATAACAATAGTACGAAGTTCTAATTTTGGAACATTTAAAATTGTATTTGACAAAACTGGCACCAACAAAATCCTTATATGAATAAACAGCCAGTACAAATGCCATGTATTTCAATGTTAGGATAATGAAAGGGTGTCTTCATTCTAAATCAGAGGTCCCCATCATTTTTGAGCCAGTGGACACAACTGGAAGGTTGAGAAAGTGATGACTGTTGCCACAAAATGGTTTTCATGGTGGGACAGAGCAGCCCTCATTCAGATCTCAGACTCGTGAGACTGAGAGACAAATTATGCACCTAAGAACTTAAGTATAAGACAAAGTTGGTGGGTCTGAGGACCAAAATATAAAACTGCCCCCTTGAAACCATAGTTTTTTGCTCCAACAGATCACCACTTCATATTATTTAATATATCCAGATCATGCCTTATTGCATTCTTCTAAAATGAAATTATTTCTTGAAATAATTCCAAAAACAGTTTCCCCAAATTATTTGTTTCTATCAATTCTTGTTGAATTAATTGTAATTATTTATTTCCCCCTTGCCAGCCAACTTCCCACCCCAATTTTTTTTCTGTCCCAAATCACTGCCCTTTGACATACACATCATTTCTACCCCTGGATCACCCCATACCCCAGCACACTTAAAGGACTGCAATTAATTCATATGAATGAGTGCCAATGTAACCAGTGAGTGGCAAATAAAAAATAAGGCTGCAGTTTATACCCACTCATGACGATACCCCATTAAGCTCATTTTGGACTTACATCTAAATAGATACATATAGGATTGTGTTGTCAAAGTATAATTTAGGATTAGATTGACAGCTAATATAAACCTATGCCACTCCTGTGGAAGTATCTGGAATAACTCAAATCAATTGAGGCATCTGATTGACTCAATGTCAAATGCTGATCTGTATTAAGCTGAGAACCTAGTATTGGCAATTACATAGCCAACTCAGTTCACGAAAGCATAGGTGAAAGGTAATCTAGCCTGATGGAAATTCACTGTGAACCTTCATGGGAATAGGCATTCAAGATGTTTGACTGGGAATAAAAATATTTTTGAAAAGGGGGTTCCATAAGTGCATCAGATAAACTTCTTGTGCCTTTATATCCAAGTAATTTCTTTGTAGTGCTATAGTGGTACTGTATATTATTTGCTGTATTCCCTAAAACATACGTTTTAATTTGTTGCAGTAATAAAATAGTACATAACCAAATGAAAGAAGGTTCATGAAGAAAAAATTAAAATTTGTTGTTGTTTTTAGAGAGGTCTATCATACAAAGCGAATGCAGCATGTTATCACTGTCAAATGGACATCTGACAACAAATATATCTTGTGTGGCTCTGATGAAATGAATATTCGCTTGTGGAAAGCTAATGCTTCTGAAAAGCTGGGTGTGGTAAGTAATGTTAGACTGACTCTATAGTTTTAAAACAATCAAATTTGGCAAAGCAGAAAAAGCCTTGATTAACTTCTTTATAAATATTGATCTCTTATAATTTGTTGCTTGAAAATAATAATTCATTGCAATCAATTTGTCTTGATTTTATTTCTTTAGTATTAGAATTTTTTTACCACTATATCAAGTTTAGCCTTATTTGGACATGTTTCCTCTTTTCCTCCATTGCAGTTCTGAGCAAGGGCATTCACTTTTACCTTAACCACAGTTTACTGTATTTTCCAAACACAAAATATTTTTTTCAAATCTTAGCTATGGCTAGTGAAAACAAGGCACATTCAAACCATAGTGTTTGAAGCAGGTTAGCTTCCACTAACCATAGTTAAGATTAAACATAGTTTAGAGTTTGCAGCTGCCCTGGATGGTGGCAGCATTCAAGACTGAAGCTCATCCAAGTCTGACCCCACCACTCCAGTGCTCTTGGCATGCTTTGGATTAGAGTTACTAAGAAAGCTGGTTTAGCTTGATGTCTTAACACAGACGGTGTATGCTAGTTTGACTTTTCTTCTTCTTCACGTTCTTCATATCGCCGTCATGGTGGCTTTTGTAAGATTTATCCCAGTGTAATAGTTAGTGTGGCCATATTGCAAGAACCCATATTGGATGCTGCTATTACAGGGCAAAAAAGGCAGATCCAGACATCTACCTTTCACATTAATAGTTCATCATTAGATGCTGCTGGGAAGGTCAGAGGCAGACTGTGCAGAGAACTATTTAAAAGTAGGACATATTGGAAATCACCATTTCCTATTTGTCTCCGAGGTGTACCGTTTCAGAGGTATAAAGTTAAATGGTAGGTCTAATCTCCACAAATTAGTTTAATTGGTGAATGCATGTGTGGGCTGCGGGGTGTTTGTGAAATGCATGTTACTACATCTGCTGGAAAGGAACTCATACATTATATGGCTACTTATTCTAAACATTTATTTCATTAGATGGTTCCATGTTCTAGCTTTTTCAGAGATGACAAATTACTTCTCGCTATTGATATTCTTCATATTATTAGTCCTGATATTATCCTCCATCTTGTGCACAAAATGCTTTTTCAAATACTCTTCCTGATTCTCTGTTCCTCTTCCAATCGTTGCAAAGAACCTTAAACTCCTTGATATATTTGCTTGTAGTTTTTCTATACTGTACTATACTGTAGTAAGCTGTTGTACCTTTCTCAGTATCTTCATACATAGTACACACAGTGTTTCATTACTTGGCAACATGTTTAATTCCACAGTGTATAGAACTGTGTATTGGATTTTTCTGTGCTGTTACTTATGAAAACAGAAGTGTACAGAAATTAGGAGACAGACAAAGAGCTTTGTGAAACATTGTAGAGAAAGCTGTGCAGCAGAAGGGATTTGAGTTTGCTAGAACAGGCTGAAGCAAAGGGAGGGCAAGAATTTTCCCTATGAGCTCTCCATGCACAGGCAACTGAGGGGACCCATGAAATGTAAAACTTGAGGGCAGGAGACTTCCATCCTCAAATTGGTCTCTCTTCTTTCCTACTGGGTGTATCTGCTGGCCAGTTCTAATGAATCATTCGTAGAAGGCCTGAGAATTGCTGTTGTCATAGGACCCTTTGGCCCCAGGAAATCTTGGGGAACAGAAGCATTGTGCAGGTGTTAGGCCCTATTATGCCTTTTGCCTCCATGAAATCTGCCGCTGCTAAATGCAATAGGGTACATATTGGCATACATCCCTTTAGTATTGTGTATAAAGCTAGAAGGAATTAAATGTACAATTAATGGATTTTAATGGATTCAAATTAATATTTGTTTGCAGGTCTGAGTACTAATGCAAAGGCACTGAACAAGACCATTTACAGATAAATTGCTCAGAACATTCAAAGCAATGTAATGAGGTGTAGGATACTAAGAAAAGAGACCAGTTTAGATTACGTTTCCCACAATTATCTGTCTCCTGAAAAAGCTAACTTATCCTAAATGGAATGGAAACTTATGGAACATACGTTGAACTTTTTGTTCATGTTGCCCACATGTATTGCAGAATATTTCTTCTTAGAAACAAGGGATACATTTCTTTCTGGTTCTGTTGGTATTCATGCAAAAATACTAACCAAGGCTAATTTACATGAAAGCTAAGACTGTGCATCTTTACATACTGGGATGTTCATATTAAAATGGGATGTTCATGTGGGTCATTTACCTATGGTGAGACTGAGGTGCTTCAAACCACCACTTTGAATATGCAGCCTCCACTCGGGGGGGGGGGGCTTGTTGGGTGAACCTAGTGTGAGTAATGTGAGGGTTAAGCAAGTTTAACCTTCATATGACCTATGCTGCCTGGCAGCTTCATACAACATAGCCCCCAAGTGTTAGGTGCATAGGAAATGTGGTCATTCACAGACAGTACAGCTTTTCATGGGTTAAATAACCCATAACATGCAGTGGTGTGGCATCTGAACCTCATTGTTGATTAGGAATCCCATTAGCGGTGTGAGTAAATATTCACTGAACTACCATGTAAGTTTCAAGAATTTCCCATAAGCTGTGGTAGTGACTGAAAAAAGAGTATTTCTAATTGTAATGGTTGCCCATCATGTTCTATTCCTAGAATATTATTATTATTATTATTATTATTATTATTATTATTATTATTATAACATTTCTATGCCGCCCCTTGCCGAAACCTCGGGGCGGCTTACAACATGATAAAATACATTGAAATACAATAGTACATAATAAAGTACCATTAAATACAAAAATACAAAAAATACATTGATTTACAAATATAAAATTAAAATTATCAGTATAAAATAAAAATATAGGAGGAGAAAGAGAAGGAAGAAGAAGTTGCCCTGGCCAGATCATATGTTTTAACAATTGAAATGATGTTTAAATAAAAAGGTCTTGACCTGGCGCCGAAAAACCAGTAACGACGGTGCCAGGCGGACCTCTTTGGGGAGTGAATTCCATAGGTTGGGCGCCACCGCAGAGAAAGCCCTCCTCCGGGTACTTACTCTCCTAATTTCTTTCATGGAGGGTTCCCGGAGAAGGGACTCTCCTGCAGATCTCAGAATAGTGCTTATGGAAACTCTGGACACTTGCAGCCTGATACTTAGAATTTAAGAACTGAATATATTGCAGAGTAGAGGTCATTTTTAGTATAAAACAGTAGAACATTTCATGTATGGGCATCCTAAATTATTAGGGGGAGATTTCTTTCTGAAGGATGAATGGCATTGGAGGCATGGACAAAGCCCCAATATCATTTGTTCCCTGGTCAAAATGGGACAGAGCTCCTCCAGCCAACACTCCAGCTATGGCTCCAGTTTCACTGGATGTGGACTTTTCCTGACAGGAGAAAGCCAGCATACTGCAAAGTTACCCTGGGTAGGACAGAGGGTGGATACTTCTTAGGCCAGGGTTTCTTCACCTACCCTATTGGGGAGACCAAGTTAGCTTACCTTTGCTGCACCCATGCTTTCCTTAGCCCAAGGAAACCTGGGTGCAGGGCAGCAGTCACCTTCATGCCCAGCTTTTCTGTATGTTGGCTTTCCTGAGGTGGAGAAGGCCATTGGCAACCAAAGTGGCTCTTCCAGCCATTTCCTCAATTGGGGAAGCTCTTAGCTCTTAGAAGGTAAGACCTGTGGGATGACCTTTGCCAGGGGGAGTGCAGCTGTTGATTCTCCTGGACCTGTCCAGTGTTAGCTCTTTTTAACCTGTGCATGGAGAGAACACTGGTGATTCTTCTCCATCTTCCTCTTAGAGCCCTTGGTAACCTCTAAAGGGGGTGAACCTTAGGGAGGAGCCTTCAGAGGGAGCAGAGAGCTTCCACTGACCTGCTTGGTAGAATTCCCCATTCCTGATATATGGCATTTCTTGGATCCTAGCATAAGCTATGATTTACTTATCCTTGAATCCTGTGGGAAGCGCATTATAATAAATACAATACACGCCTTAGTTTGTAATTTATAATGCTTAATCTCATGTTAGATTTTCCTCCTGATTCTTTTTTGTGTCCATAGGAGATTAGACAATACTTTGGACCCATGGATTTAGATGATGAATGTGTGTGTGTGGGTTCACTCAACACTAAAAGCACCATTTGCATTTCTAGGTTGAATCAATATTGACCAATCTGAGGTTTTTGCCATATTCTATTGAATTGCACAGAAATCCAGTTGTTTTTAGAAGCACTGGAGACTGAAGGGCCAGAAGTGGTTATTATGCTAAATGCCCTTCCAAATAGTAGCACATATTATTCAGCTTCAGGCTTATGCAATACTGCAAAATGTTAAGCTTCTAAAGAAAAGTATTCAAGAATCTGTGCAGAGCATCCTGCAGACCAAATTAAAATAACATTGCACTGGATTCATACTTTATTTAAACCCATAGTAACCACTGGGACTTAAGTTAGTCAAGACTAATTCCCACATTCCCTGTGCTCCAAGTTGGGCAAGGCTGATCTAGATCAGAATTCTTCTTTGTTAGGCACACTCTGTAGCATTTACCTCAACATTTGAATTAGACCTCAATATACTGCTTACGTTGTGACTTTCATAGATGACTGCTTATTTGATTTGGTAGGCTGTACTTTGTGGCTGCCCAAGTATTCATCAGTTCTGACATTCATGTTTCTTTTACCTCATTAATGTATTTGGCATTGCACTCATTACATAAAATCAGTAGAACACTCAAGCAAGAACAGCATCTCTGCAGGAGCCAGACGGATTTACCCTGTCTACGATCCACTGACAATTAAGCCTATGATACTCTGCTTAACTGTTGTAGACATACATGAAGTCTAGTTGTCTTACAGCAACAGGAGTACCAGGCCAGTATTTGTACTCGTCTGTGTAATGCAAATTTTGCAAAAGCAGGGTTTTTTAATTGAAAAATTAGTGTGCAGTAATTTGTCATCATTTGATCATAGTCCCAGAAGTAACAGAGGGACACACCACCTTGCAGCTCCTCAGTAAGATGCCCCTTCTTTTCACTCTGAGATATGACAGAAAGGTGGTAATATCTGTTTATTCAGGACAGGGAAGGTATGGGTTCCACCATCTCTTATGCAGAACATTCTGTGGGCACTTAGTTATCAATTACATTTATATGCTACCTTTTCTCCTTTTGCAAGGAACCCAATGTGCCTACCAATTCTTCTTCCTCTGCATTTTAGCCTCATATCAAACCTGTAAGGTACGTTCAACTGAGAGTTCATGACTGGCCTAAAGTCACGCAATGAGCTTCGAGGTGCTTTTTAGAGACCTGTGAAGTCAGTTATAAGTGATACCTGCAATACATCATTCTCCTTTCTCTATATTGTCAATTTCCTAGTTAGAAGATGGCTGACCTTGCTGTCGTTTTAATGCCAATATTTTTGCCCAAGCATATAACATTTTGATTGTGAAGTTGACTTCTACATAGAAAACTGTATGTGTATGAATGTATGTACATATCATAATATTCATGGTATTATGACTCCCTAAACATAATGTGAATATCAGATACAGCTTGTACCTAATCCTTGGCTTCTATTAATTTGTGCCACTTCTGGATATATTTTGTTAAAAATATTGCCTTAGTTTAGGATATGAGCCTGTGGCCCCTTAGACACTATCTGGGGGGGCCATAGCATATTTCAGATTCTGGATGCCTTACTATGATAAAACAAAACAGCAGATTAAAATAATTCAGTTTAAACAGTAAGAAAATACAACAAAAGTAAAGCTACCGATAAAATTAAGCAATCAATTGATAATAAAACTATTTAAGACAATCAGTCTGTAAATATCACCTGACAACTAAAAGCTCTCAACCCAGCAGCAACGAATCAACCATTACAGAACCAACTTGAAATAGTTGTGAAATAAAAACATTTTCAGGTGACATTGAAAAGAAAAAAGTGAGGATGCCTGGTTAATTTGTTTTGGAAGTAAATTGTTGGAGGGTGGACCTCAGAGGACCTACATTGCAATATTGCTTCTTTGGGTCTTCTTGCTCTCCATTGGATGCTTATATTGGAGGCTCTCCACTCTGCCCCACAATTATGTTTTCATTCACCTGTGTAAAACTTTCAGTATTGTTTTTTGTCTGTAGAAAGTGGGGTTCTGTCAGCAATAATTTTTAAAAGTAATTGCCTTTAATTAAAATGAAAGCCTTTTAATTTGGATTGCATTGACAATTTGCACAGCAGCAATGTCGAGAACATATTGCTGACTAAACAATGTATTATGGGATGCCTTGGTAAAACAAGCCAGGAAAATATCATGTCACTGTTTAGGACTACTGGCATTTCTATCCTCTAAATGTCAACTAATGGTGGAACATTGTTAAATCTTGTTTAAATAACAAGGCTGAAACAACTCTGTATGTTCTTTGAGTTCTTGCAGCTAGAGTCCTATACTCAGTAGTGCATAGTTATTAGCAAGACTTGATAGGAAATCTCACACCTCTCAAATTGTTCTGGCTTGCTTTATGGAATACAACTTTTGTAATAATCTATATAGTTTTATCATTGATATCTCTTTCCTTAGCTTGCCCCCCGAGAGAAAGCAGCTATGAACTACAATCAAAAACTGAAAGAGAAATTTCAGCATCATCCTCAGATCAAGCGTATAAATCGCCATCGCCACTTACCAAAGACCATCTATAGTCAAGCCAAAGAGCAGCGCATCATGAGAGAAGCTCGTCGGCGAAAGTATACTTCCCATTTTATTTGGTTAAACTGCATACTATGTTGAGCATGCTTTTAGGTGACCGTCTGCACTTCAGAATAGATCTAGAGGAAATATGGTAGCTTTAAAAGTGGTTCAGTATTGGGAAGAACTACCTAGACAGTGCGCAGAATTTTCTTTGTTAAAGTTCACCAAAAAAAAAAAAAAAAGATTCTGGATGACAGCCTTATTGGGAAGCTTTATTTATTGGATATTCTTTTAAGGACAGGATATTGGACTGGATAACACATTGGGTCATTTCCAGCCTTGATTCTGTAATAATATTGATTTGCTGAATTAAGCAATTGAATTGCCTGAGTCAGTAGGGTAGAAAAGGCAGGCCAAATTGATGACAGTGATTCCTTATTCTCAAAGGCTACAGAAAAGAAAGAGAAGGCCCTTCTCTTTCAACATGTTTCTAGATAGTAGAACACAGTAGGAGCATACTACAAATCTGTTTTTTTGATTTCTGTTTTTATTTTAAATTCTGCCGAGTAGTGTAGATAGATTCTCTAGGTGGTATACCCAAGAAAAATTACAACTAGACAATTAAAACCGTAATTAAATATGAATAAGAAATTGGTAATAATTTAATCAAGATCATTCAAAAACATGTCTAGTTGAGATGAACAACCAATTTTACTAAAATTGCAGTAAAACTAATAAACATCTAAAATGCATTATTAAAATCAATTATTAAAATGGGTGGAGAAGAGATTTTTTTTGCCTGGCACTGAAATGGAAGCAGAGTTGGCACCAAGCAAACTTCTCTGGGGAGCCTGTTCCAAAGGTAGGGGACAGCCACTGAAATTTAATGTGTTGTCTTGAAAGCAGCCACATTTCTATCCTATATTTTCTTTTAAGAAGGGCATCACATTTCTGATCTTCCAAAGATAAGGAGTCATTATCAGTACTTTATGTGATTTTTTAGCAACAGTAGAATAATAGTTGTTTTTAGCCATAAATAGTAAAACATATTAAATCTAAAAGTTGACGTTTCTTCTTCTAGGGAACTGAATCGCCGGAAACACAGCAAGCCTGGAACTGTACCACTTGTGTCAGAGAAGAAGAAACACATTGTTGCTGTAGTGAAGTAATAGTTTAGAGGATTGTCAAAGGCTGTGTTTGAATTCTTAAAGACATTGTGCATTTGGTGCAGATATTATTCCAAAATATTTCTTTTTAAAAATATTTTTTTGCCATTGTTGAAATGAGTATGCAACTGTGAAATAATCAGTGTCTATAAAAGGCTGCTGTAAGGGTCTGTGCTAATTTGTTATTCCTGTAGCATTTCACCTGTTGCACTGTTGGGGCACACATTTTATGTCACATGAAAAAGAGGCAGGATGTGACATTAAAATAAAGATTTGTGTTGACTAGAAATGTGTAGCAGTCTAATTAAAGCTCATAAAACAAAAATATGTATTAAAGGCTTCAGAGTGATTTACTGTAAAAATCAGATTTCTACAGTAAAGCCTTTTATTCCTTGAGAAATAATTTGGCCAAAAGTAATAACTAAACCTGCATAATCCTTTGTTTAGAGAGAAAAAAGCCTAGAAACTCCCAGTGTCCCCCAGCTAGCTATGATTCTGTCTAAACTGGCATAGGATTGTAGTTTTAATTTTAAAGTGTTAACAGGCTCTTAACATTCTTATCAGTAGAACTTAAAAGGTCTTAACTGGCTGAATCAGGTATTTGATGTATCTGGTTGTATCTTTTAAAAAATGGTATTATTGAAAGAGTGTGAAATGTTGACTATCATTCAAAGTATACATATCATGATAGAATATTCTAATTTGACAATATGACATCTCATTACTTTTGGTGGATCCTTCCATATTTAGACCCCTGACTGTAGTTCCTGACTATTTAGTTCCTAAATAGGATTTAGAAGTAAGTATTTCAGACTCAAGCATTTCCTACAATATGCAAAACTAGCCTATCTGGAACAAAATTGAAACAAATCTTTCTCAGTCTAATGTAAAGTTAACCCTGTTGTAATTAGCTGAAGTGACAGCAGAGCAAGTACAAATGATCTGGCATGGTATAAGGCAGCTTCCAAGACTTCTATAATTTCTCAGAGTTCATAAAGCAAACACTTTAAACTTCTGGTGGGTGTGTTGGCATACAGAGCTGTTATTAAGGGCAGGCATGGTTGGTCCACTGACAAGAGTCTCCTGGACATGATTCTGCTCTTCACTACTGCAGTCTGTTCAATTGCCTCTTGCTTTGGCCCAGGTAAAGATGGTGGGGAGAAGGAGCAGTAGATGCTGATTCCTACTTGCTCACTGTGTCTCTGCCTGTCAAGAAAACAGTTTTGAGAAATAAGACGAATAATAGCCATTGGTGGCAACATTGAAGAGAAAATAGACCCACATCCATTGAAAATGGCTTTCCCACGTGCCCTCCAAAACCTGGAATATTATTATTGGCACTAAATGAGATTAAACTGACCATATATTTATTAGCACTTCCCTTCATATGTGTATATGTATATATCAGGCACAGGGAATGAAATATGTGCATAGTTTCTTCTTATCAATTGCAGATGACTGTTGAATTTCTTATTGTGTATACTGCCTACTTCAGTTATATTGGCTGCTACTTATTCCTTGTGCCAAGTTATACTGAGCTATTATCAGCTTCTTCATTAGCACAACATCTAATTGTGGGTTTGGGTTAATGATCTGTTTCTGGGTCTGCAACATTTTAACTGACAGGAACAGTATTAAGATGGTCCTGAGCACTAGTATTTCAGAGGACAGCCTATAAGTAGGAGGTCAACAGGAAAGTTATCTATTGGAACAAAGGACTTGGAAAAGGAAGGGATGGAAACCATATGAAAATGTCACATCACAGATGGGGAAAGGAAGAAGCACATCAGCAAATTCCTCTTACAGCTTCAAATACTGGTAACAGGAAATGATTTCACATGGCGTAAGCACCCAAGACAAGATGAACCACATTTTCCCAAAAAAGTGAGTAATCTTTCTTTTGAGATTGAAGGAGAAACATTTAATTTGTACAGCTGGGTAAGTAAAGATATATTTATAGATCAGCTATTTCAGGAATAGAGTCTGTTCTTTTGAATCAGTTAAGGCAAAACTGTAACCCTGGCAAACAAATCCATACACAATATTTGCAGCTGCATTCAGTATTTGCAACTGGAAAAAAATAAAAAAATAAAAATAAAACTTTTCCAATGTGATTGTTTGTAAAGTTCTAAAAATACCAGCATAAAATATCCTGACTAAAAAAAGATTAAAGAAGCATAAAGCAAAAAACTGGATCAAAAGAATTATGTTAAAATATAGGATAAATAGAATGCAATTGTTGGGAAAGAATGTAGGTAATTCAAAGCTACAGTTATATGTTTTATTTCTAATTATTGAGGTGTATATTAAATATAGGCCTGAATATATATACTATTTCTTGATTTAGCCTGGGATAACTTAACAAATCATTACACAAATGATAGTAAATTCAAAGGATTTTGAGTTGTATACTTATGTGCATGCACACACACTACCCATTACAACATTTTAGTTAGTTTTCCTGCAATCTTGTATAGAGGGAGCTTTAATACTTTTTAAAAAATGGGTATGCCAAGTTTCCTTTGTAGATTTTTGCATTTGGAATTAATATTGAATTATACTTTTTAGATGAGGGATCTTGTGTTAATCAACATATTCAATGCTCATTTGTTAATGTTTTCATTTACTCCCAGTTTTATGTTTTCTGCAAATGCAATGAGCACATACTCTATTTCATTAAGTAGTTAATACAGACTCATTTACCAATCCCTGCCACTATTTGCAGAGGGAGGATTGATATATTCATTCTCCTTCCACCCAGAACTGAGTATGTATTACAGATACCAGCAAATATAGTTCATGTAATTCTACATTTATTGATGTATTTACTTACAGGGCTGTGTACAATATATTAAAACATATAATACAAACACTAAAATTAGAAGAACAGTGTAAAATAATAGCAATATAAAAACAGCAAAGAATTAAACTATTATGCATGACAGATATTGCTAAGGTTTATACTGGTTTGTGCCATATCTAGATCTAGGGGCAACACAAACCGTTAGCAAGTAACTATCTGGTGGCCATTTACATTCTTGGTGTTTGGTCTGCCTATTAGACAGAATTGTCCAATCTTGGATACAGTAAGACGGATTTAGTTATTATATAAAGTGGTTATGTTCCTTTCATGGAGAAACAAAAAGAACTATTACAATGATAAGTGCAAAGAAACAGAAGAGAGTAACAAAAGAATAAAAGCAAGAGAAATCTTCCAGAAGATATAAGAAATCAAAGGTAAATTCAAACCTAGATTAGGAATGCTAAAGACAAGCAAGGGAACATACTATCTAACCAGGAGAAAATAAAGAGACACCGGAAAGAATATACAGAAGAACTATACAGAAGAGATGAACGAATCTGTTGAAGAGCGTCCAATATTGGAAAGCCAAGTAAAAGCTGCTCTGAATGTATCTGCAAGGAATGAAGCACCTGGAGTAGACAGGATATCAATTACTCCAAGCAGCAGACAATGAATACATCCTAATCCTAACAAAAATATGTCAACAAATACGGAAAACAAAACAATGGTCCACTGACAGAAAGACAAACAAGTGGGTCTTAGATCACATCAATGTCAAAACTGAGTCTGTCATACTTTAGACACATAATGAGAAGGCCAGACTCACTGGAGAAGACAGCCATGTTAGAGAAAGTTGAAGGCAGAAGATGAGAGGGAAAACCAAATTTATTTATTTATTTATTTAAAACATTTCTATGCTGCCCCCATCGCAACAAAGCCTTGGGGTGGCTTACAAAGAATACATAAATACATACATAAATAATAGTAATATAACAATTTAAAAGAAAAAAAACATTTTAAAACCCCCGGTGCATTCTTGGCTAATTTTAAAATCCTAATTAATTCAATAATTAAGCAATTAAAATAAGTTTTAAATAAAAAGGTCTTAGCCTGGCGCCGAAAAACAAATAATGACGGCGCCAGGCGGACCTCTCTAGGGAGCGCATTCCATAGATGGGGCACCACCACAGAGAAAGCTCTCCTCTGGGTACTCGCCCTCCTAATATCATTTACAGAGGGTCCCCGGAGATGGGCATCCGTTGCTGATCTCAAGGGGCGGAAGGGCATATATGGGGTGGACTGAATCCATAAAGGAAGCCATAGCCTTAAACTTGGAAGAGCTGGACAAAGCTGTCATGGACAGCACATTTTAGAGGGTTTTAATTCATAGTGTTGCCATAAGTCAGAGATGACCTGACAGCACATACCACACATCTTTCTTTTCTTTTTCTTACGTGGAGGTAAAATATAATAATCAAATATCCAGCTTTATAGCTCTCTTAATTTCTGTTATTGAAGGATCTTTATATAAATCTAAGAAAGGTGTTAAATCTAGGAAAGGTTTGGGAGAGGACTGAATATTGTCACCGTTATGACTGTCAGCTAGAATTCCAAGGGCCATTTCATACATTTTTGGGAATGTTTTCTTAATTCACTAGCATAGTCTATTCATTTGAGCAATGTGGTTCATCAGTCAAGAGCTCATGGATTTAAGCCACTTTCACAATCTTAAATGATATATGTATGTAAAATGTGTGCTTCCCCCACTGCTGCATTGTGTATATCACTTCCATAGGTTAGGAAGAACCTGAATATAACCACATATGTGAATCTATCAGGTATAGTGGTGCAATCACAGGTATTTCTGTTTACTGAAATACAATTAACAATTTTAATATTAAATCTTATCAAATGGTTATCATTTCTCTAGCAATCTGGTTTCTGAAGAACAACATGTAATCTAGAATAGACATTTTGGTTTGAGCTGCATGTCATTTCTGATGGTAGAAATAATTAAATCAGAGTAAACTCCCTTCAATAAAATTAGCAGCTTACAGTAATATGACTAAAGTGGTGTTCTTCAAAGTGCCAAACCTCAGAAAATTTTAATGGAATGAATCATATCTATGATTAGGCAGGATTGGTCTTTTAATGCAATTCTACTTTAATCATTAGAAAGTGCCAAATGAAACACTTAAAAAAATTATTGCTGCTTTTTGGAAATTCATGACTTTACAACCTCTCTTGAGCAGTGGGGAAAAAAGGCTTCCTGGACCATTTATGCTAGTGTTGTGATTAGGATGGAAATGGGGAGTTAGAACAGCAACAAAGATGAGGCTGCAATCCTTTACTGACTTATATAGGAATGAACTCTATTGAATTCAGTGCAATTTACCTTTGAGTGTTCATGTATCAGATTGGGCTGTGAATATATATAAGCTGATATTATACAATGGCAAATTCCAGTGAAATGTTGCCATAGGTGTTCACTGGAGTGAATGGCCGGGGGGGGGGGGGGGTTCACTGTGCTATGTTTTTCCATCAGTCAATATAAAATAGCTGGGGTGAGGGGGGCCAACAGATTTCATTTTCAAATATTGTCATCTGGAATTCTAATGCTGATGGAACACAGGTGCTGATGAAATTTGAATTGCATTTGTTGAATCACTATTAATTTATAAGCTGTTACCAGAATATTTCTGGAACTGCATTTACCCACACAGCCATTAAGCCGGGAAGGACCTTCAGTTCATTTCCGCATTTGTGTCTGCCAAGTGTTACCAGTAGAACTGTTCAGGATGGTGAGAGATCTGGTAAATTACATTGCAGGACCATCTGCACATATATAGGCGTCCTTAACAAAACACCCTCTGGTAGGCTATTTCCATGTCAGTGAGCTTTCTAGTGCTATGGGTTACTTGGTAGCAGCAGCAACAAAATGCAGTAGCAGCAGCACTTAATTTTCAACATTACCAACTTAATTTTCAACATTGCCTTTGATGTAGCGTCACTCTGGGGCATCCTGGATAATAAAGATGGCAGCACTCTCAGATCCCTCATCTGGAGTGTTGGTTTAAGGGCAAGCATCATCACCTGGGACGCTAACAGCTGCCCAAAGAGACTACATGTTGATGCCAGAACAGTCCTCTGGACCCAAATGTACTATTATGTGAAAAGATTTGCCAGCTGTTTTGCCTGCTAGACAGTTTTAAAATATGTCTGACATTTGCTCAATAAAGCAGTTATGGATTTCTCAATAAGCTGTTGTCCCTTTGAGAGTAAATTTGTGGCATGTGTACTTGGATGAGATTGGATTTCTGGTCCTTTGCCAGTTTGCTTCCAGCCTGGCTATAATACTTGAGTCTTAACTAGAGAACATATCAAACTTCTGTGTGACCATTGC